CGCCCGCCGCAGCCAAAGAAAGAGACAATGGCGGCGCCTTAGCCCCGGCCTGGCCGCTGCCCGCCTCCCCGCCCCGCGCCGACCGCAGCGGATGCGCGCCTCGCCTCAGGCCCCGGGGGGAGCCTAGCGGGGCCCCGGCCCCCGCCGCCGCCGCCGCTTCTCCTCCTTCTCCTCCTCCCGCTGCTGCAGCGGGCGCGGCAGCTCGGGGCGCCGCGCTCCCCTCAGCCCCGCGGCGGCCATGGCCACCGAGCTGGAGCCGCCGGCGGCCGGAGCGGTGTCGGGCGCGGCGCCGCTGGAGGCGGAGGAGGATGAGGAGCACTGGCTGTACGGGGGTAGGTACCGCCTCAGGCCTCGCCCCGGGCCGGGGGAGGGGGGGGGGGTTAAGGCGAAGCAATCGGCCGCCCCCCCGGCATCTCCCCCGGCCCCGCCTGAGGGGGTGGCGGCGGGGGGTCCCCTCCCGGCCCGGTGTGCGGGCCCAGCCGCTGCGGGAGGCCATGGGGAGGGGTCGGGCGCTTTATCTGCCTTTTTACGGGGGGTGGGTTATTGTCCTTCTCACCACAGCACCGTGGGGCAAAGGGGGTAACGGGACGCTGGGTTATGAGTTCCGTTTCCTAATTACCCTGATGTTATTAGTCGGCTGGATGCGGGGGAACCCCGCGGGAACAGGGCAGCGGGGGGTGTGTCTGGGGAAAGCACCGGGCTCTGCTTAAGCCTCTTTGTCCTCGTAGAGTTTCCAGCTGAATTCTTCTGAGCACTTCTGTGTGTCTCGTACAGAAAGCCTTTCACGGCTGGTTTCAGGTCCTTCTGTGATGTTTGCCTTTACTCTCTCTGCTCCGGGACCTGGGATGTCTATTGACTTTTATTCGGTGTCAGTGGGGTGAGACTTTGCTTCCCCAGAGAGGTCTTGTTTGTTGGCTTCTTTTGAGTTGGTTTTTTTTTTTTTTAAGTTGCTCTATTTCTGGTTGAGCTTTATTGAGAACATTGGGGTTACAGTGCCTCGGCACTGCGAGGTGTTTCTGTAGCTGTAAGGCACTTGGAGCTTAAATTTAACTTTTTTTTTTTTTCTTTCACTTGAATAACTTATTATTACTGTTTTTGCAGATGACACCACTGGTAAGCAAGAAGATGGACCAATTTCTGGGTAAGTCCAGAGACTGTTTATTCTTTATAACTATATATTCTTCAGAGAAGACCATGCCGTGTTGAGCGCAGCTTCAGGAGTGCTCTACAGAATCACAGAATGACATGGGGTTGGAAGGGACCTCTGGAGATCATCCAGTCCAACCCCCCACCCACAGGAGGTCCCACAGGAACGTGTCCAGGCGGGGTTGAATGTCTCCAGAGAAGGAGACTCCACCACCTCCCTGGGCAGCCTCTGCCAGGGCTCTGCCACCCTCAAAGTGAAGAAGCTCCTCCTCATGTTTAGATGGAACTTCTTACATTCAAGTTTGTGCCCATTTCCTCTTGTCCTGTCCCTGGGCACCACTGAAAAAAGCCTGGCCCCATCTTCCTGACACCCACCCTTCAAGTATTTATAGGTGTTGATCAGATCCCCCCTCAGCCTTCTCTTCTCCAGACTAAACAGACCCAAGTCCCTCAGCCTCTCCTCAGCAGAGAGATGCACCAGGGCCCTCATCATCTATGTAGCCCTCTGCTGTCCCCTCTCCTGTCCTCCTGGAACTGGGGAGCCCAGAACTGGTCCCAGTGCTCCAGCTGGGGCCTCCCCAGGGCAGAGCAGAGGGGCAGGATGACCTCCCTCCACCTGCTGGTCTCCAAAAACTAGGGCCGGGACCAGCAGCCTGGCCTTTTCCCATCCCATGGGTTCATCCCCAGCCGCCATGTCGGGGCTGGCACAGCATTGATGGATTCGGAAACTGAACTGGATCAGTCAACTGACAGGACTCAAAACCAGCTTTTAAACCTCATTTTCCCCCTCCCTGACAACGGACAACTCAATGACCAGTTTTCCTTTCTGTGTCTGCCCTTGCTCCTAACTCCCCTGTATTTGTAGCGATGTGTTTTGCACTCTCAGCAGAAATGTTACCTGTTTGCCATGTTCAAATATAACATGCTTTTTATAAGACTTCATCTTCACTGGACTTCTGTGTGCTCAGCACCTTCAAAAGTTCAGTTTGATGTTTATTGTCCTTTAAGGTCCTTGTGAATTCAGTATCTGGAATTTCTGAGATTGTTACGGATGCTGTTCTTCTGTAGTAAGTGTCCTGTGCTCAGGGAATATGAAAACTTGTTCAAAACAAGTTTTAGGCAGAATTGATAAATTGTTACCTAAAAACATCAAACGAACTTTGTGAGAAGGAACAACTTTTAGCTTAGACAGAAATTTGTCCCATCCCTGGAGGGGTTCAAGGCCAGGCTGGACAGGGTCTTTGAGCAACCTGGTGTGGTGGGAGGTGTCCCCAGGGCAGGGGGTGGCACTGGATGGTCTTCAAGGTCCCTTCCAACCCAAACCATTCTGTGATTCTGTGAAATTTACTGCTGACTTACATAAATCTCATGTTCCTTGTCACTTTCATCTGAATGTGACGTTACTTTACAAGCAGGACTAAAAATCTAAATTTCCAGCAGCTGTCTCAAATCACTGCGAGATGTGTGAAGTTTTGCTGCTTATGCTCGCTCTCCTTTTCCTATTTTTTTTTTAATTTTCCCTCTTGATTTTTTTCCCTCTTCTTTGTTGCACAACGGGAATCTTCCTGGCTGAAGAGCTGTGGGGTGTTTTAAGAGAAATGACTCTTTGTTTGCTGTGGTGTGGACGCCTGCTGTTCCAGGGATGTGCTGCTGCCCTGTCCACAGTGTCTGTCTCTCCCCACGCAGCAGAAATCAGCAGCCTAAAGGATGCATTAAATGCCCCCAGCCTGTGCAGGATGTTGCTAGTCAACGATTCACAGGGTTCTGTTGCCATTCTGGGGAAGTTCAAGAGCTGTGACATTTTTTTTGCGTGGGGATGATGGCTGCAGAGCTGGGATTGTTCATTCCTGGGAAGCAGGCAGGGTAGGGAGAGGCTGTTGGGAAGCAAATGTTTATTTGAACTCCCGGTTCATAAATTTTAATGCACACCCACAGCTACTTCATGTGACTTGAAGCTGAAGGTAATACTTGTCACTCTGCCTTAATAGTTCAGTCATCTTGGATTCTTGAGAAAATTCTGGGGTCGAGGTCAATGTTGAGAGTTGCGTGGATTTGGCAAACAAAATGCACGGAGTCTTGGAGCCATCTGGGAGGTTTTCTCCAGTGGCGTATCTGGTCCTTGTGTCACAGCCTGTGTCTGCAGCTTTGAAGTACTTTTAGGGGCTGATTTTTCCCTTTGACATCCTGGTGCTTCTTATAACTTGGAGTGTCTTCAGCTGTCACCCCAGGAACTTGAAAAGCGGGACCTGCGCTTCCTTGGCTTGGTGGTTGAATTTCTTTTGTGTATGAGGCTTTTCTGATGTGGGAGCTTCAGAAGCTGCTCAAATTGTTCTTGTTTGTTTGTTCTTTTATGCTCAGGAGCTGCTGAGCTTCTGAGTTGCGTTAGGTGATCTTTTGGCTGACTTGTTTGGTGTCTCCTGCTGCCTCTGGAATGGCTTTAATCTGGCCAGTGTTTGGATTCTGTTAGGTGTTACCTGTGTTTCTTTTGAAGATAATCTTCTGGATGTTTGTTATCCAACATGGGGTTTTTAATTAATAGTCAACGTCTCCACAAAGTACTGGTGGGGAACTGGGCTGCCTGGACAGTTCTAATTGTCTCTGTTGTAAAGCCAGAATTATTTTGAAGTACCACTAGGTCTTACCTACAACATCAAAGAAAAATGCTCTTTCTTTGCATTTTAGTTTTGTAACACTTGGCGTGCTCTTTTCTAGCACGTGCCTTCCAATTTGACTTTCTTGCTTGGCTAATGTAATAAACAATGTTAATGTATGTACAGCCTCTTTAATTGGAGGCAAATCTGAGCCTAACCATTGTTGCATTAGGACTAATTTGTAATGAATGAGAAGATTGGGTGGATAATTATCTGTCTTCTGTGAAATTTACCTACTCGTTTATGTAAGCTATTTGTAGAAACACTAAAATCCCTTTTTCCTTAATTTCTATGGGACAAATGCCCTTAACTGCTTACTAAACATAGATATAATTATTAGCATCCTTAAGGAGAAGGTGAAGCTTTGCTTATTGTGCTCTTATTCCTATCAGTTGTGACTGTGCTGAGCCAAAGGTGGAAGCTGTTGGAGCTGCCACATCTGTATTCTCTGCTGAGGGGTGTCTGGCTGCAGCCACTCTGTCTCCTGGGCTCTTTGGAAGAGCTAAACCCCTTCTTTCCTACAAAATCAAAGCCAAACAGGGATGATTAACTTCTTGTCATAGAGTTGAGCTCACTATCAGCAGAATAAACACACCACCTGAATAAAGCCATTATATGAAAGTCACCTGGATGAGCGCTTAAAACTGTTTATGGCTTAACCTCTCTGTTGGGCTTGTCCCCTTTCTTTTATTTGTCGTGCTTACCAGACATGCAGAATCTTCTCATCCTCTGCAAGATGCTCCTCAGGAGAACCGGCCGGTCAGCAACGAAGACCGAGAGATGTCACAACACGTAGGTGTTCCTCTGCAGATGGTAGCCCTAGTTATTTTTGTGCTTCTCGATACTCGCGGATAAAAAGATGTAAGTGTAAAGATGCCTCTGATGCTGTGGTCTGGCAGAAAAAGCAGAACCTGATGTTACCTCCAGCTCAATATTTAGTATGACTTCTGGAGGGTCAGTGAAATGTGGGAAACACTGGGGTAGAAAGCCCAAAGTGCTGGGAATCAGTTTTGATTCAGCCTCAGGCCTCACAGAATGCAATCCGGTGGCTCAGCGCTGAAGGCGGAGGAGGAGACTTCTTTTTCCACCCCCTTTTCCTCGGGTCATCTTGATGGGTTTATTTTCTGCCTCTGTGGTATGTCAAGAGGGCTCACACGGAGTTTGACAAACCCGTGTACCGTGGAAAAGGAGGGAGGGTGAGGAACACCTTCCTCCTGCCCTTTTGTGAGGTGTTAATTCAGCTCCTGCAGCCCCAGCTGCGCTGTTGGGTGCCTGGGAGATGTCCTTTGCTTTTTCAGCCCGGCAGTGATGCTGTGCTGGGTCTGATCTGCAGCTGGAAACTTCTTCAGTGAAGTTAAGTGATTGGGGACTGTGTTAAATAAGCCAAGCTGAGCTCCTCAGCACCTTCCTGCCACAAAGGTTGTGGTAAGAGAATATTAACTCCAAGGTTCCTAGGTGAAGCCCGGTGAATATATTTTTGGTGATTTTTTGCTTGTGACTGCACACTTTCACCTGGGCCTGTGAAGGAGATGTGTCAGAAAAGCCCTTGCTCTTTCAGAAGGAGTAGGGGAGAGGAACTGTGAGACACAATGAAATTCCTAGAGCCGAGCTAAACCTTCCCCACTTTCAGGAATCTTACCCCAATTTTCATGTAGGGTCACTTCTGCAAAGGACAGAGCAGTTTCTCTGTGGGTCGTGTCCTTTTATGCTGAAGGCTGGTTATTTCCATGGTTTTTGCCTCCAGAGACAACTTTGTGCCATAGAAAGCTATGTTTTTCTATCAGAATCATCCTTTCCAATAGTCCTTCATCATAAAGCTTTGTAAGATTTGGCTTAGTGTCCTGGGGAATTGATCAGTTTTCTGTATTAATGAGCTCCCGTGTGCTTTTATTGTTGCCAGGCCCTTCCAAGTGGTGAAGATGATGAAGATGACAGTGATAGCGACAGCGATGACGACGACGTGAAAGTTACAATCGGCAACATCAAAACGGGAGCACCGTCCTACATGTACGTGTCGCTGATTATGGTGTCAGTTTTTGATCCCAGGTAGCTCTAGGGCTTTAATTGGGATGGAAGGTGGTGATGAGAGCTCTCTGTCTTCTGGGAGTAACAGCTGGAAAACCAGGATGGGATCAGAAGCTGGTGGGTAGCTCTGTCCCGCAATTGCTTGTTGGAGAATCCTTCTATAAAATAGGAATGATAATTCATGGATCTGCTGTTGGACAATTAACCAAATAATTACCGTGCTTCATCAGGCAAAGTCAAGGGTGGGAAGTTACATTTAACTTATCATCTGTGAAAACTTCAAGAACCACAAATTTGTATTGATGAGAATTTGCATAAGCAGTGAATTAACTAATTTCCAACTGTCTGATTTTTTTCACGATTCAGAAATGGTGAGGCTGGATTTGTCAACCAGGAAATTACCTCACTGACTTAAAAGTCTACCTAATTTGCATTGAATAAAAAAATAAGACAGCGTTTTTGTGTGCTGCTGGCAGCCTTCCTCGTAAGGAAATGACTTGCATGTGCTTTGCAGCATACTCCAATTTTTCCACTTCATGGATAACTTCCTTCTCTTGTTGGAGGGGTGGTTGCAGCCTGATGAATTACTCAGAGTAGCGGTGCTCCATCCCTTAACTGCTTCCTAGATTTTTGCAGACAAATTTGCTTCTTTTACCTTTCCCTTCCCATCCTGTGATCCCTGTGCAGCTCTGATTTCCATGTTGTTCACTTCCATTTAAATACTGAGTCCGTTCCTGGGCAGAACGGTAACAACCACTCTTGGAATAACCTTTCCCTCCGTGTTCAAGTCGATCCCCTTGTGTTGTGCTGTTGGCCAGATAGTACATTTGCTGCGTTTCTGCAGGGCTAGAGATGAAATCTCACTTTTAAGATGTTGAGACTTAGAGAGGCCCAAGGGAACTAAGCATCTGCTGAAGGATGTCAAGGCTTGAATCTGTTTTGCATGTAAATCTTCAACTGAAGTGATTTCTTCCAATACCAACGTAGTGATTCTTTTCCATGTAGGGGAACTCCTATGAATCTAAACTTAAAAACGGGTAGAGGCTATGGAGCGTCTGCTTCAGGTATTGCTCTTCTTTTTATCCTTTGCCTTTTGTAGGATTTCACTGATTGTGGCACTGGCAGCTGGAGCAGCTGCAAATGTTGGTCTCTGGAAGAATAATAAAACTAGTGCATAATATTTAAACTAGGAATAGTAAGTGCATTTCCTAAGGATAAGTGCTCCTAGGACAGTCTGAGAGCCCAGGGTGCAATGGAATGATTTAATTACTAATTGCCGATTATAATTCTATTTAAACTAGAAAGAAATACATTGGTTACTACTTTTAAAGTAAAAAAAATAAATAAAATAGTGTTTCTAAACTATGTTGTTGCACTGGAGCCAAACCATCTACATATCCTGGAGAAGAACTTTACCTGTATGGTCAGTGCCTGGAGCTACTTGTGGTGTGAGATCCTTAAAGAAACAAACTCTGGCCTTGAGTATCAGCGATGGGTATTTCTGCAGGTGACATTTTCCCCATCGTTCACGTTAGTTTATGCTGTATATTGAGACTGGGCTTCTCTCCTTTCTCATATGTAGGACTGTCCTGTCATGGGCTTCATATACTTCCTGCCATTAATTTCTTTATGCAAATGATTTATCTTCCGATTGAGAAAATAAGAACAAATTCCCCTTGAAGATTCTGTACCCGACAGATTTTTCTGCCTCCAGTTAGTACATGGGCTGCTTAAGACTGATCCCGAAAAAGTCTCTTGTTCTGAGAAAACGTGTGTGTCTTGGGAGCGAAAAATAAATATTTTGCCTGGGGAGAAAAAGAATTATTTATTTTTTTAAATTTGGGGTAAATTTCATGCATGCTCTAATAATTGACTCCATTCGGCTGTAGTACTAATCTGGGTTGAAATTGCTTCTCTGCTGTTCAACTGCAAATGCTTAATACTCTCACAATTTATTTATAGAGTGACTGAAGTCATTTTTATTAAAAACTTGATTGTGGTTACCTACACGCTGTAAGGCCAGCAGTGAATTCACAGTAGCGCTTTAGTTTTGACTGGAATAATTTGCTCAGCAAATCAGTGGATTAAAGGCATTGCATTAAAGGGAGTAACGGTTTCTCTCTCTCTCCAAAGCCAAGTTGCAGCCCAAAGGTATTGACTTAGATGCCGCAGGGAATATAAATGGATTGCCTGTTATAGAAGTGGATTTAGATTCATTTGAAGACAAACCGTGGAGGAAACCAGGTGGGGCCTCACAGTTTCTTGTGGTAAATATTTTCTACACTTTTAATTGTCTCTTTTTTTTATTTTCACACGTCATTTCTGTCCATGTATTGCTGCCAGGGAACAGGGAAGTCAGAGCAAGGCGTGTTGTTCAGCCTCTGATGGACACTCAGTGACATTTACTGACTGCTCAAGCCATGCTTCTGTCCATTCTGTCCCCCGCTGCATCACTGGGAGGGAACAGTCCTCATTTCATTTTCTGGACAATATTATCCGGGCTGTCCAGAGAAACACTGTGTTATGCAGCAGTTTTTAATATGTATGTGGTCTCTTTTGACTTCCTCATTAGTTAGCATTAGGGAGATTTCCACTTAGAAGCAACTCGTGCATGACAGCTGCAGGATGCTACAAATAGATGTCTGGGTTTCATCTGAATTTGATAGAAAAAATAAATGAAGGAACCAAAAAGATCCAAATTTTTGCTGTGCTACTCATAAAACATGCCATGACGGAATGTTAACTGAAGCAAAAAATCCACTTACCTCTTCTCAGAAATAGTTCTTCTCCCCGACAGCCCCTGTACTTCTATTTATCTTTCAGAAATATGGCTGTGCTATGTCCGTAGTGCTTTTATAAGGCTGTCTGATGTGTTTTCAGTATCTCTTGCCCACCCGAAAGGAAGGGCATTGGAGTACAGAAGAGTGCTCCCAGCTCCATTGATGTGTCGTCGTATCCCACCAGCACCAAAGCACTAGAAATAGAATCACAGAAATATAGAACATAATGAAAATTGAGGCCTTTCTTCTGCGGGGGATTTCCCATTGATTGTGAAGTGAGAAGGAGGGGCTTAGGAAAAAAGTGAGTTAGAAGGAAAACAATGAAAAGAAAATCAGAGATAAAACTTGGAAGTAATCATGGTGGCATCCCTGGACCAAAATGAAGGCAACTAGCCCTAAAACAGTGTCGAGGTAGGGACAGAGGGAAGATGTCTGCAGAAGTGTGGCCTCTAAGTTTATTTGATTGGCAAGTAGCTTGTTACTCAACAGCCTTTTGGGTGTATGTCCTTTAGAGCTAATCATTCAGCAAGTTGGTATCTCTCTTAATGAGTGAGAGGAAGAAGAAATATGGTGTGGAGGAACTGATAGAGGCCTGAAATATATGCGGATAAAATAGATATGTAAATGTCATGTTGCTGAGTCTGTGTTGGGGAAATTTGCATATTTGGGTGGTACAACAGGAAGAGCTGCCTGCCCAGAAGATAAACTTAAACCTCACTGTAGACATCCAAGCTCAGCATGGTCAAAGTGTTTTGCTTTGCCCTCCTGGATCAGCTCCTTGTTTTAGAATTGTCCTGTCTGGGAACATCTTTGCGAGGGGGGTGTTTGAGGGACACCTCAGCAGGGCTGGGAGATGCTTCCTGATGGAGTTAGTTGTAGCTAAGCTTGTCCCTCTGCAGCTCTGTTTTCTTGGCAAGCAGTTTGTGGCCACCTCTCTTACTCAGAAGGGCTTATGCTGAATTGGCATGTTTCACAGAAGACTGTCAAAGTGAGATAGCAATCTCAGAAGGCTGTAGTTCAGATCGTGACTGAACTGTAATTTCTTGTGTAGTCTGAGATGTATAAATAAAAAAACTTCCATTGTAGCCCTGTTTCACAAAATGGGAAAGTCCCAGAATCTCTTCCCAAAGCAGCAGAGGCAGTGATGGTGGGGAGCAGAACATGTTGGCTTGGTTCCACCAAGAAGAAGGGTCTGTGGTGCCATCCCATTTTCGTGGTGGTAGCTGGAAGTGTCTTTCCTGCACCCTCCCCAACACTCAACTCATCTGGAAAATTGCAAGAAACTATTCTGAAAAAATCTGCAGCCATCTCTGCTGTGGCACAGAGGCTTCTGACAGAATGAAACGGGGAGGAAGCCCAGCTCTCTTAAAAGATTTTTGTTTTCTTAACTATTTAAGTAGATAAAGGAGAATTTGAGAAAGCAAGTCTGCTGGAATCCCTGTGTTAACTTCTACTCCCTTTGCCAGGTGCTGATCTTTCTGATTACTTCAATTATGGATTCAATGAAGAAACATGGAAAGCCTATTGTGAAAAGCAGCGACGGCTTCAGCTGGGACTGGATCCCGCGCCGCCCATCAGCACTGAGAACAAGATCACGGTGCGTGACGCGTTACTCCTGCATGTGGCCACAGTAAAACTGGGACTCGTTTTTGTAATGATGAGAGTGTAAGAGCAGAAGATACCTTAATATTTAACTGTTCTGTGTTCCTTTTGGTGATGAGAAATATGAAAATGTATCTTTAAAGATTAAATCTTTCTGCTAAAAATCTTTTCTGTATGGAACGAACAGTGCCGGCTGCCTGTGAGGTTTGAACCACTACATTAGCCAGACTTCAGTGAATTCCCAGTTGACGTTGAGGCTCCCCAGGTGTAGGGGTGCCTGGGTGGAAGGTCCTGTGGACGTGAGAGGCGTAGAGAGGAGCTGGGGCTCCGTGGCTGTTTTGCTTGTTGCAATTGTGTGGCCGCCTCTTGTGTTTGGAGACTTCTTTGGTCATCAACCTTTGCAGAAGCCCATCAGGTGGCAACAGCTGTTAAATCGGAATTTCACCTAAAGAGTCAATACAACAAGTATTAATATTTTCAGTTTTGACTTGAGGGAAATGTGAAAAAGGATAAGAGGTTATTAAACTTCTGGAGTTCTAAGGGGAGGCAGTGGACAGCAGGCTGAGGCTGCAATAGCCAGCTAGTTTACACAACTGCCTGCCACCTTGACTGAAGAATAGGTTGGTCATTTGCAGGAGCCCTGTGATTGTTCCTCAAGGGGAGAGGAAAGAGAGGAGCCCTTTTCCTTTGCTGAGGGTTAGTCTCTGATGGTACATTCAGTTGAAAGTAAGGGCATTAACCCTGTGTGTGATATATCACCTTCCGTAGGTTCAGCAAGGAAGAACAGGAAACGCTGAAAAAGAAGTGGAAAACAACATCATCAAAACAGAATTCAAAACCGATTTCTTGGCTCTGGTGGGAGGACGCATGAAGGCTGGGCCTCCACCCAATAGGTAAGAGATGAGGCAGACACAGACCTGGGTGCACCATGGTCTCTGCAGGGGCAGCTGGGATCCACCTGGGCCACATCTGAGTTCCCTCAAGCCTGAAGCAGAAGAAGCTTTTAGACTTTACAGGAAACTATTGTGGTCATTCATTAACTGTTGTCTTCAGCTGCCATTTACCTCTCCTTAGTGGTATCTTCAGGATAGTGGTGCACAGGGAGGGAAACCTCTATCCCAGCTGAAAGGACACGTCTCTGGGAGTAGAAAAAACAGGGCAAATCCCTCCACTTTGAGGGCTTACGTTGCTGGCTGCTTGTGCTTACTTGGCTGCTTCTTACTCCCACGATGTTAATCTTTGCCTCTTTAAATTGAAGTGGATTATAGGTTTGGCAGCTGATAAGAGGAGCTATTGGTTTCTGAAGCTGTATGCTACGCTGCTTGATGTGTGCTAATTAGTAATTTTCTCCAATGAGAGAGGATCCACAAGGCTGGACAAAGCAAAACAATTGAGTCATTTTGATTGGCAGCCTCTGCTGGGAAAAAGGCTTTGACCTTAGGAGGGGGATGGGTTGCAGAAATCAGTCTCACTTTGAGAAGAGAATCCACTATATCCTTCAAGCATAAGTGTTAAAGCTCGACTTAGTCTGTTTGCATTTAAACACTTCACTGTCAATTCTGTCCCCTTTTGTAGTGCCATCAAATCAGGCAGGTTCATTTCCAGCTGTTATATGTGTATCTCATGAGATTTTTTGAAAATTTACACCACTGCAGATAAGCTGGTGTTGCTGCAGCAGAGCTTTAGGTCAGGACCAGAACCAAGTATCTTCGTGCACCGCAGCAGCGTTAAACCATGGGCTTGGCACTGAGTTGTGAGCAGATACCAGTGAAAAAACTTTATCTCCCCAACTAGCCAGCATTTTTATATCCACTTTGTCTAAATTTCCTTCTGAGATAGGGAATTCTGCAGTCCAACTTGGGAAAGTGCTGACATTTTTCTGCCCTAACTGCAGGAAAACATGTCTGAGGCCATATTTACACAAGTCAATTGTTGCATGAATATAGGAGGGGGAATTCTTAAACCTCAGCTGCAGGTGCTTCTCTCTCTCACAAACCTTTACTTGTGATGACCTTACAATGAGGTTCTATAAAAATGTTCTTCCCCTAAGAGTGACCTGGGTATGGAGATAAAAGAACATGGAAAATTGTAGGTTCTGTGGCTGGTTTCCACTGGTGCATAGACAGCACTGTTTCTTGGCTACAGGAATGTATTTATTTTTTTTTCAAGGAGTTAGCCTTGATTCCATTGAGGGCAGCAGCAAAACTTTTGACTTCAACAGGTACAGAGTGGACCCCAGGGAGGTCAGCTAGAAAGTGTCTGAGAATCCAATTTGTAAAGAACTTCAGTGGTATCAGGAACACCTGGAAGATTGGACAAAAAGTAGGAAAAACTCTGGGCTGATAATATTTATCAGGAGGAGCCTTTAATGTTCTCTGCTTTCTCCAAGCCTGATCTGGGAATGACTACTGAAATCTGGAGAGTGAGTAAAGGATCAGAGTGTGTAATCCGTGTTATTACACTTGTATGGGGTCATTTTTTGGATCGTGTTTCTGGGTGTTCAGAGAGACCTAATTGCTCAAAAGCAAAAAAGGCTGCCTCATTCACCTCTTGTCCAATTTGAGTGCTGCCTCTAGAGATATTTCCCTGGTGGAAAAGAATGCACAAAAGAAATCTGTGTAATAGTGGGGAAAACTTCTCCTTTTAATGTCTTTGAGCCTAAAAAGATGCATCTGCTTTGTACCAGGAAGCTGGGTGGGACAATTGATGTGATCGGTGGCCAGGCAGGCACAATCAGGAGAGTAGAAGGAAGACGTCGCGATAAGCACGCCTCTGAGGAAAACCCAATTCAGGTGAATGTTTTGTGTAGTCTTGATGAATTTCTCATTTTTATTGCACTTCTAGTGAACCCTGAGCAAGTGCCTGTGCGTTCCTGACCCCTCGTGTCCCTGTTTCTGTCTGCAAAGCAGTAGGTAGTTTATCAACCCCTGTCTAGGCAGGTGCATGTGTCGTTCCCTTCTGCAGATTGAATTAATTTCTGTGTTAAAAGCTTTCTCTTGCTGGGATGTAGGGTCTGTCCTTTGAAGACTGGCCTTCCCAGCTGAGTGATAACGCTCAAGTTCCTTTTCTCCTCACCTCTTCCAAAGTATTCCTTGCAATGCATAGCAGGGAGGCTCTTAAATGGATTATTCCCTTCCCTCCACTGTCAGGTGGGAATCTCCAGTTCTGCAGTGGAGGACTTTTACCTGGGGCTTGTGTTTCTCTTTACTTGGAAGTAACATTTAGTCTAAGCATCGTTAGATGCAGCCCACACTTCAGGCTTAAGGTGGGCCTGTGCTACTGCATCTTGTCCCTTAAAAGAAATAACAGCTTGGGCTTCAAAACTGGGCTCAGTTCTGATCTTGCATCTCCAGTATAGCCATAATGTTCTGGTTGGCCTCTAGGTAGGAAGGTGCTGCCTGTAGGGTTTGAGGACCATCTGCTGAGAACTCTCTCTTAACCTCCTCCCAACAACTCCTCACTCACAAAAAAAAAACCCAAATGTGGAACCTTTCCCTTGTATAGATGCAATTCCTGGTCTTGTTTTTACATGTGTTTTCATTGTGTACTTTTTTTTTTAAGTGGTCAGTTTTCCAAATTTTGCCAACAATGGCCCAAAAAAAGAATTGTCCTAAGAGAAAGAATTTGCTGGGAAATGGTAGTGTTCCTCCTGCTTACCAGCATTGATACCTGTATTTCCAGGACATTCTGGTGTCTCTGCACATCGATCATTCCTTCAGCACCAGCGGGTGCCTGACCTGCTTTTGTCAGACAGATGGGAATCTGCTCTTCCTTTCACCTACGTGGACACAATCTAGAGCAGAATTTGGCCTCTTGCTGCCCTGAGGAAAGATAAATTGGGTTAAAAACAAAAAAAGCTAAGCATATTTTTCTTGTTGAAGATGGGAAGTTGGACTAGGCGACCTTTAAAGGTCCCTTCCAACCCAAACTATTCTATGATTGCGTTGATCAACCAACCTTCCTCCCCAAAAGATGTTATCCCCTGGCTACAGCGTAGCCTGGTCTTTCCAGGTATCGCAGTGCTGCTTTTTTGGGTCATGTGCTCCCTTTATGCCAGCACAGTGAGGTCCTACCTACAGGAGCAAGGAGATTAAAATGCTCTCTTCTTGTTCCTCTGCCTTCTAAGGTCCTTGGAGACCACGGAAGTAAGCCACAACCCCCCCAGCAGCCCCAGCAGCCATCACAGCCCCAACAGCCACCTCAACAGCAGCCGTTTGCACCACCAGCAGGCCCACCGCCTCCCCCGCTCGCTGGGCCACCTCCACCACACTTCCTCCACCCTCCTCCACCAGTTACTTCTGTTCCACCTCCCCTGCATCCTCCAGGTATGTGTTCACACGGCGACATGGGGCGGGCTGAGGCTGCAAGTTAGGATGTCCCAGGCTTGGAGCAAATCAGAGTTTTAAGCATTAAATATTAGGAGGGGACAGTTGAGCAATCAGGTTACAGGTCTTAGACCTGGCCAGTCTTTGGTCAGTGACTCCACCAGCCCCTGGGATATTTGCCCTTGAATACTTAAAAAATGGCAGCTGTTCCTTGGGGAAAAAAAAAAAACAGCCCTCTAGGCTTTGTTTCCATGGGAGAGCCTTTGGGTGGTACCGATCCATTTGCTTTATTGAGAAATGTAAAGAAATGGGTTCCTGCTTATCAGTGGAGGAGGCTGAGAAGGTGGGAATTGCTGTCCTGTGTGGGGTCAGAGGGCTCTGTAGTTCAGGGGCCTGTCTGGCTGTGAATGATTCCAAATGTTTCACTGGCGATGCTGGAATTGGCAGTTCTGCAACAGCAGCTCTAACAAACAACTTTCCTCCTAATCCAGGTCAGTTCTTAGTTGGTTTATGCCTTGAAATACCAATTTGTATCTTTCTATGTTTGTTTCTGTGCATTTTATTGTGCCAGCTGCCACCGCAGGATGATGCAGGATGAGCTTACTGCTCCTAGGAGAGCCTAGTGCCCAGCACAGACAATACAGCAGTGCTTCATTTTAAAAGCAAAGTACAAATAATACAAATGAGGTCTTTACCGTGCGTTTCTGACCATCGGGTGTAGTGAGCCCTCAGCATTGGCAAGTTTGTGTGCCATTATCAATAACCAGATGGGTTAGTATTGTGCTGAGAGCGCTTGGCACTTGAGAAGACACTCTCAAGATAAGTCCTGTCCTTTGTCTCTGTAGTTACAGACTGAGCCCTGAAACTATTGAGATATTGGAGCTCAAATTTCTCATTATTTTTTGTCTCGAGCACCACAATACAGAAAAGTTTCACTGTCTCTTCTGTGCCTGTCATAACCCGGTTTCCACCAAGTTTCTTAATGCATCTGAGATGTGGAGGCCAGTAGTAACCTTCCTGAGCGCCGGGCAATATGGGGCAAACTGGTGGAAGAACAAAGAAATTTGTAACTGAAAAAGCCAAATATTTGTATTTATGCAGCATTTTCCAGGGGGCACAGGGTCATTTTTCTGCTGACCCTTTTCAGTGCAAGTTCCCAGACATACAGGCCATGGCATGACACGTTTTTCTGTCTTCACTTCCTACTAAGTCTGCACATCTTCTGCTCCAGCCTGAGTCATGTCTGTGCCCCTGTTGCTTCTGGCTTAAATAGTGCATCGAGGTTGAAATGAAGGCCATGCTCTGGGCAAAAAGTTTTAAAAATACCCAGCCAACAATAAACCAGCCAAAGGACTCGCTGGCGTCTGCAGCAGGTTCTCATCTCCAGCTCCTTCAGTTGTTCTAAAGGCCAAATCAGTTGTTTGTGTGTTGACACTTGGACAAAGGAATGTTTAAAATTATAATATAAAGAGATTATCATTTGAGAAAATGATAAAGCCTGTAGGCTAGTTACTGTGCAGTAGCACCAATGTTTCTGCTGGTCTGTTTGCTCAAATATGTGAAAATTATTCAAAATTGTGCTTTTAGGTGTAGCTTGAGGAACAGAGATGACGTGCTTTGCCTGTTGTCCTCACTTGTTTTCCTTCCTTATTTCCCCAGGTCTGCCACCACCCGGTCCTATTCCAGGTAGGTGGCAACTTGCTCTTAGATCCTGAACACACAAGTGGCCCTGTCTGAGCACTTGGATGAAGTAACACGAGAGAGGGTGACACCGAGACCCATTTTAGAGCACAGTTAAATTAAAGGCTAATAGACTCCAATGCAGCATTGAACTGTAGCTGCTTATCTTCTATCCTGGACCTAAGTAATAATCCCTAGGGCTCCTTAATACTCTGGTTTTGTCTCTGAAGACCAATCTAGGAAGTGAAATGCAGAACTTCAGACAGGAAAAGCCACTTAGTTAATTTGAAATGGTTTAGTTCTTGTTACGGCGTTTGCACAGCAAAAGTCTGAGTGACAAATTGGTATTTTGTACAGGAATTAGGCGTGTGGGACTGAGCAGAACAAATGCCATTTCCGTCAGAAGCCTTTGCTGCCTGGTGTGCAGTAGAGATGGTGAATACTAATAAATATAACAACCAATCTGGTGCAAATTTAAGAACCCACTAATTCAGAGCTACCATAAAACTGAGTTTCCTCGAGCTGTAACTTTTCTTTCTTCTACCTTATTGGAAGATCTTAGGAAAAGGAGGGGAAAAAAGCATCTAAGAGACATGTCCCCCAAGTTGTTTGCAGAATAGATCTCCAGTAGCTGAGCTGGAGGCTTCAGGCTACCCCTTTCTAGCAGTGAGGCACATCTAGGGAGGGGTTCTCCTCACCCATTTCAGGTGTTCACAATAAGAGCTGATGAATTGTCCCCCCACTGGCTTGAAAAGGAACCTTTTTATGTGAAGGCAGGCCGTTGGGTGGTTGGTCTGTTCTTGTAGAATTGGCCTGTAGAAATAAAGGCTGCTTATAGTTATGGATACAAGTTTCAGATGTTCCCTTGGGAGCGATCAGCACCTCCTCACTCTCAGGTTGGTGAAGGTTGAGGACTGTGGCTTCCAAGGCTTATGTCACTTCTGGAAGCGGCCTTCATAAACTTCTGCTTAATTCTGCTTTCTTGAAGATGCTGCCTTGTGATTTCGGATAACAGCTCTTCATGGGTTTCAGACTGGGCCCATTTTTGAAGTGTCAGACCTGTCAGACAGCTCTCTCTGCCTCAGGGTCTTCTCAGGATTTTTAAATCTATATGTGTTCAGAAATTGGCTTTCTTTAAAAACAACCAAAACCAAGTGAATTCTATGTTACATGCTTTGTAAGAGACAAAGCTACTCGTGTTAATCAATGGAGCAATTAAAATAGCTGCAATGCATCTGCATCCCAAGAATCAGACTTTTCTGTCTTCCACGGGACTGTAAGGGTTAATGTTTACTCCTTAATGAATCTTCTGTTTCAGATGAATAACCCACAATAGAAGGTAGTTCTTCCTTTGTTTTTCTTCCCATCCCCCTACAGAACTAACACAGCTGTAGGGTTTTAATTTCGGTAGGAGATACAGCCCTGAAGGAAAATTATTCCTTCTCAAATAGGGCCTTGTTTAGGGTAAAAAGATGCGTTAACAGCTTTTAACTGTAATCAGCGACGAAGCCTTCTTCCTCAGGCTGTGAGGTCTTGGTGATGACTTCTGTTTCTGTGTCTAGGACTGTTCCCGCCACCTCTGGCACCACCACCAGCTCTCCTCATTCCAACCTTGGATGGGTAAGACCACGTCTGGGCTGAGCCATGGGTACAGCTCCTCCAGCAGGAGGAGAAGAGGACAAAAATCAGTGCTTGTAATTCTCAGTTTGGTCTGGGGTGGGGGGTGAGAGCAGAGTCCGTAGGGAACGCTCTGTGCGTTCACCTCCGTTCCTGAGTCATGGCACAGGAGGGAGTCACTGAAACCCCAGGTTTCCCTTGAGGATGTTCCATGGACCTTCAGAAAAATTTGGGTAAATGCTACAAAGGGTCATTGCTGTTGGTAACTTGCATCCTTTTCTCTCTCTCCAAAGCCAGCCAGCCAGCTACAATAACAGGCAGCCTCCTCCTTTTGGCTACAACTCTGCAGGTGAGCACCAAAGATGTTCCCTGGTGTTTGGCAGTTCAGGCTTTTCTTAAGCTGATGGACATCAACTCCAGGGTCTCACTTGTGCCCCAAACTGTCCCAGTCATGGACAGACACACTGAGTTTGGCTACACCATGAAGTGCTTGGAAAGCTGAATGGTTTGCTGCAATGGTGAATGCAAGTCTGTAGTGGATTGTGGGTTTTGGTGCAACAGAGCAGCTTCCTCACATGCTTCCTCACATTCCTATGCTTGTTTGCACAACCATCAGCTTCGCATCTCCCTGAGCTCTTCCATGCCATCATCTCCCACTTCATCATCTCCCTTGCCTACGGGCACGTGTTGGAGGCCTCTTTCTCCTTTGGTTTTGTAATGGAAGAGGCAGTACCAGAATTTCAGCACGTTTCCTTCCCTGTTGCCACCCTTTTGGCAGTGCCCGTGTCCTCTCCCATTTCCTGAGTGACCAGTGGCACGTCCTTGCTGTGCTGAGCAGGTGACACGCAGGAGGTGTTGGTGGAGTGGGTGGCATGAGGCCATCCTGAGAAACAGGAGCCTCCAGTGCTGTTGTATCCACAGCTTCTCAGCAGCTGGTCCTGTTTTGGGAGGTGGCCTCGCTGGTCCAGCTGAGCAGGCCCCAGCAGGCCAGCAGCAGGATGGGGAAGTGCTGGTGGCTCTGGGCTCCTCAGGTGGAGCCTTCATTCAAAACTGGTGTCGCTGGCCCTCCCCAGCTGCCACCTTGGGTGAGAAGGTGAGAAGTGAGACCTTGTAAGGTGGCCAAGAGCCCTGGGCTAATTAAACTCAGCTGGCTCAACTCAAAGGTGCCTGCAGCACCCTCTGAGCTCAGATGGCCTGGGGCGATGGATTAGAACTTTTCTGAGTGGAGACCTCATGGCACATCCTAGAGAGCAAGATCTGGGGGCGAGCGCAGTCCTCGCAGTGCTGTGCAGTGGAAGGGGTGGGGGAGATTTAGCAGCAATGTCTGTAAATGTCTGATCTCACTTGGATCTTCCTCGGGGAAAAGGTGTTGACACGTCCTTAGCAAACTGCTGAAAGTGAGAAGGGAGAGTGAGGAGAGGAGGGAGCTGGGCCATGGCTGTCTCCTGGGACTCAGTGGGACCTCCAGGGGGGATCTTTGGAAAGGGAGGGGCAGAGAGGATGCCGTGAATGCTTCAGATGAACAAGGATTCTGTTCTCCCCCTGCAGATTCAGGTTTCATCAGCTACCCACCCATCTCCACGTCCCACACGCCCTGGGTGACGACGGTGGACAAAGGCACGAGCAGTTCCAGCAGCAGCCATTGGGAATACTCGGGCTCGAGGCGCGAGAGGGAGCGGGATCGGGAGCGGGATCGGGAGCGGGAGAGAGACAGAGACCGCACTCCCACCACCAGTGAATACAACAAGTGAGTGCTGGTTTTCAGCAGAAATTACAGATTACACCAGTTCAATTTTCTGAAATGTCTGGGGAAGAGACACTTTGGATCGATAACTAGAGGACAAACTAGGAGCCAGTGTTACTGACTGATTTCCTGTGCCTGGTTTTTTGTTTAAATCCAGCAGAACCAGTTACACTTGCTCTCCCACCTGTAAGGTGAGGCGGGTAAATGAAACAGCCCCTCTCTGTTTACTTGGTATTTCACAGCTCAGTGCGAAGTTGGCCATAGAAGCTGCTGCTTCTTGTCATCTAAATGCAACTGTCAGATCAAAGGACAAACCACCCGTGCTTTGCTCTGCTCTCCTGTGGAGGCTTTCAGGGCAAGGAGTGTCGTTCCCCAGGAGTCAGCCAGGAAATGTAGATCCTTAACCAGGCGTTTCTGTGAGTGGTGCTGGAGACAACCACCTTGTCATCTCAGGCGGCAGCGATGCTGGGAGCATGTGGCAAAGGAGGCTTCCAGCCTCCCAGCGTTGGTCTAGAGAGCTAAAGTGGAGGCTTGGCTGCAAAGAGTCTTTCTAAACCCATCACTTTTGTGTTCTGTCACAGGCAGCGTCTGTGTTTTACAGGCTTCAGGCTCAGAAATACCAATAGTTGTTAAAAACATGATCAGAATGCACATTCCTGGCAGAGAGGTGCTCCCTGCTGGGGAACTTCCTGGCCCAGGGACTGAGCAAAGGCGGCAATGCTTTCCTAACCTTTTGTTGTTGTTGTTTCCCTCTCCCCATTTTTTTCTTTACAAACTTGGGTTGGGAGGGGGAGGAACAAGAAGACAAACTTGTTACAGTTTGAAGAGCAGGGACTCCCACAGTTCCTGAGCAGGTTCATGTCCCAGCCAAGCCCTGCCGTCAGCAGGTCCCGAGCGCATTGTTGGCATTGCTGGGCGCTTTGGAGCGTGCTGACCTCTCCCATCCCGGAGTCAGGCTTGGCACAGTCCTTTGGAGCCCTCCCAGATGTTTGATACTGGACATTTATCTGTCTGACTCGCTTCCGTGAGCGTTAGGACCATATTTCAAACTTCCTTTCTCTCAAGAGTCTGAATATTTGTTTCCCACAGTGGGATTTGTTAACCCTTTAGGTTTTGGCTTCCTGAAGTTGAGTGAGGTGAGATGTAGAGGGAAGGGGGAGCGTGGGTTCTATCTGAATTTGGGCTACATCATGCCTTGAGCAGATAGTGAGGTGTAGGCAGAAAGACCATGTCAGCCATCCTCACAATTGGAGTTTTTGAACTTATGGGGAAGAAAATAGTCCCTTAGTCGAACTCACACAGAAGAATTACAGCTCATCTGGGACAATAGTGCTGTGAGGGAAAACCCAGCACCAGGGGAGGCAGAACGATGAGAGCAGCGTGTTTCGGTTGGTTTTGAACGCTGTAACTGGATATCTTGGACATATTCCAGAAGGAATCCCCGAGACATTGGCCACCTGCCTGCTGCTGAGGTACTCCCTCGGCAAATCCGGAGAACAAATTTTGTAACCCCTTTGCCTTGAGAGGGCAGGAGAAAGCCACGGTATTGGACTGCCTGGGCTTGTGAGCTGTGTGATAAGCAAGTGGAAAAAGCTCTTTGACTGTGTTAGAGACTGGGATTGGGCTGCAGCTTGGGTTTGATGATTGGCAGCGGCATCTTATAGGTTTTTTCAGGAGCATCACGAATACCTCAGCCTGCTGGTAGAGTAAGAGGTGGCAGATTTTGTTGGGGAGGATGGGACTGTACACTCCTGTAGAGATGGCTCCTGCCGTTTCAGGTCCACGAGTGGTGTGTTCCTCTGCCTCACCCCTCCTTTCTCTTCTTCTTCAGTGACGACGAGCGCTACCGCTACTACAGCCGGGAGCGCAGCTACGACTTCGAGCGGGACTATCGCCGGAGCAGGGACCGCAGCAGGGAGCGGGAGGATCGACACCGAGAGCGCAGGCACAGAGACAAGGAGGAGAGCAGCAAGCATAAGTCCTCCAGGCGGTAAGGGCTGCGTAGGGCTGAACTGGGCTGGTGATGGGAACACAAGAAGGTTGGTGTTCTCAGACTGAACTGTCGCCCTGGGTCATTCTGGCTTCCTGTGACCTGCTGGTGTCCTGAGATGTGACACACAGGCAGAGAAGGTGCTCTCGGGCATGTGCTCAGGCAGGAGGCAGAGCTGTCAGCGATAGGGAGAGGAGTCCTCGGTGTCTGTAAGCTCTCGGTGAGGCAGGAGCTGGCAGGACGTGGAATCACTGCCAACACAACTGCAGCACTGACTGATGGAGGAGAGGGTAACCTGTGCTAAACGTCACCTCAGAACAGCAGAGCTCCCACTGCTCCAAAAGTACACACAAAGCAAAATGTAAAACCATAGCGGAAGCATCAGCTTTCAGGATTGTGTGTTCTGTGCAGAAGAGAAGATCTTTCTCCAGCCTGTCACCTGAAATTCCCTCCTGGAGCAGGAGACTTGAGCGCTGCACGATGAGAGCTCTGTGCCCAGTGCTCCTCATAGTGAGGTTGGTGACGATGTGGACACAGGTTGAATGCTTTTGGAGCAGAGCAGGATGTCCTAAAATCCCAGCTTTTCTGGAGAAAGTGTATTTGCTACAGCTGATCTGCCTGTGAGAGCATTCTTCTAGCAAAGTCTTGTCTGGTCTCTGCTCTGAGGCACTGCTCAGTTGCTGTGCCAGTTTGTGCCAGTTTACAGCCTGGTAATGACTTGAGCAGACCTGCTCTTCTATTTTTTGGTGCTTCAACTTCCTTCTTTTAGATAAAATTCATGTCAGCTCTGTAGGTAATTACCCTTATTTTGAAATTGCTATCAGAACAACTCCCACGCAGTGACTGGAGGCAAAAGGCTGTTCTCATCCATAGGAGATGAATAAGTTGTCAGGAAAGGAGCAGTTGCTGAAAGGTTGGGACCAAAGTGATGGGAAGAAAGACCATCATGAAAATTGAATGTAAAACAAAGCTTATACCAGACTAACAAGCCAATAGCTTTAAGGGTTATTTCTCAGCTTCCTCTACTCGGAACTGAAATCTGATGTCAGATACTCAGCTGCATGACCAGGATGGAACTCACCAAAGCAGTGGCAGGCTCTGCTGGGGAGCTCCATTTACAAACTGGGTCCTGCACGAGGTGGGAGCGTGGTCACTTCTCTGCTCCCGAAACCACCCAGTGATGCTCTCTGTCTTGCTCAAAGCATTGAGATGGGAAGTGTTCGTCAGCTAAAGCACGGGGAGGAACACTTTTTGGTTAAGGTCACTCCAAGTGCATATCGGAGTCCCCGCTGGAGGTGATTTGAGCCTCTTCAAGGCACTTGCAGGAAGATGAAAGGGCTTTGTTGTAGTTTCCAGTTCACGGCAAATTGACCAGTCTGAAGGAAGTCACTGACGCTCCTTTAAATATTAAAGGACAGTGCGTTGTTCAAGCAGAAACCACTGTCACGTTGGTGTCCACAAGGTGGCTGAAGAAATGCTGAGGAGAGGCAGCAGCCTTTTTTTTTTTTTTTTTTTTCTCTTCCTTTTAATGACTATGAAACCATTTATTATACAAGTCAGAAAATTACTCGAAGCCAGGAGCTTTTCAGCCAGGGCTTCAGTGGTTCGGCCAGTCAGGTGTCTCTGCTGCTAAACTGGTATTCTAGCTGCGGGGAGAATTTGGCTCTACACCCAACTCTGTCCCCACTGGTGGAGCTGAGTGTCTGCTGGGTGACCCTACCTCCTCCTGTGAGGAGTTTAATCTCCTTTTTCCTGTGCTCTGTGCTGTGTTTTAATTCTGCCACCTTCACAGCACAGTCAGCTCTAGGGAGCTCGCTTGGGTTTCAGCCTGCGAGGAGAAATAATTCCATGTTTGAGGAGCAGCAGAAAATTCCCTCCCAAGAGGGACCAAGAGCCAGAGAGAGGAAAAACCAGAGGTTCCATCTTCCCACTGTCCCCGATGGGAGACAGAGGCGGATCTTGGGGTGTGTGGGTTGTGTCAGGGTCAGGGGTGCAGGGCTCAGGGGCATCCACAGCCTCATCAGAGCTACTTCTGGCTGGGATTTCTCCCACGTCACAGAAATCCTGTCTAACCATCCACATCAGCCCAGCTGCTTCTGGAAAACCGTTCTGGGTGAGGAGATGGAGAAGTTCTAAAGCACAAAGCCAGTGAAGTCCCAGGTCATTTATGAGTAAGCAGAAGCAGAAACAGAATCTGCCTCCCATTAGGAAAGCCACGTTTCCCTAGCTACACTGATTCCTTTCTTGCCTCTAGCCCAGGGGTTTCCCCAAGGTGTCCAGAGAACTCTCAGACACCTCTCAGATTTAGGACTCCCTTCTCTCAGCAGGCTCAGTGCTTCACATCAAAGCTTTTGAGGTGTGTCAGAGTTGTTAGAGCTCCCTTGGGGAGTGGGCAGGACCCAGAGATGTTGTCTGTAAGGACTATCCAAACCCCCTTTTTCCAGCAGTCTGTACAGTGTGCTCTCTGCCCGGGCCCTGTGCTGATGCAGCCACCTCCAGGGGTTTGTGTGACCTGCCCTTGGTTCAGCCACACATGGTATCAGAGATGAAGAAGAGGAAGCCTTTTGATGGCTCCAGGATGCCCACAGCACGTCTGATCTGTCTCCTGTTTGCTCTAGATCAAAGCACTCTGTCCCCACACGTGCCGTGGAGTCACCATGGGGGGGTCTCTCCTGGGGCAGCACCGTGCTGATGCGGGCTCTGATGGAACTGTCTTCTCCCCCTTTTCTTGCCCAACACAGCAAACAGCACGAGAGCGAGGAGGGGGAGAGCCACCGGCGTCACAAGCACAAAAAGAACAAGCGAAGCAAAGAGGAGAAGGAGGCCAGCGAGGACGGTGCCCCGGAGGGAGAGGAGCAGGATGCCAAGGAGTAACCTCCAGCAGCCCACGGGAGGAACTCACTCCTTTTGAGCCAGCGTGGCCATGGGTGATGGGTTTTTTTTGGGGGGGGAGGGGGATTTTGTTTATTTTTATTTTTTCCAAGGGAAGAGAGGCTGACTCTGGGAGAGCAGTGAAGCATGTGGCAGTGGTTTGAGAGATGAAGCTGCACGTGCAGTTAAACTTCTTTTTTTTGGGGGGTTTGTTTTTTTTTTTTTGATACGAGACAAACTACAGCAGTACTAGTATCCACAGCACTGAGCTACTCATACACATCCCTAGGGAGAACTTTGTTGTATCAGATCCTATGGTTTCTGATGGAAGATGGCTTCAGCTGAAACTAACGCATTTAGGTAATAGTTTTTGTCTATTTTTTTTGTCATCATCATTCCTTTTTTTGAGAAATAGGACAGTAAGTGTGACTTGAAATTTATTGTCCAAAGAAAAGTGTGGTTTAGATCCCGAGCGCCAGCTTAGAGCCTGGCTTCTAGTAGTGAAAAGTCTCAGCCCCAAATAAATTCCTGTATAGCTACAAGAAATAATCTTCTGATGCCTCGGTGGCCAGGCAGCAGCACGTGAGGAGGAACAGCTTTTCCTGGTGGGTCACGAGATCCTGCTTTGGTCTGAGGGCTTTGAGGAGCCACCACGTGTGTTCACACAGGGTGTGCAGAGACTTCAAACATAGCTTTTTTTTTTTATCCATCACAAAAATAGTTGCGTTGTATATTCCTCCTCTAAGTGGGAAATCAGTGGAAGACCCATAGTAAGAGCATGAGTTTCTCTTGAATTAGTTTTGACTTAACTATTTTATTTTATTATTATTTTTTTTTTTACTAAGAGTTGAGCTGAATAATCCAGCCCAGTAGAGAATGTGAAGTCCCTTCTAGCAGTTTGCCCTCATGGGGTTGGCTTATTTCTACTTGGTTATCACCGACACTCCTGTGCAATGCATTCCTTCCCCTTAGAGCTCACAATAAATTCAGTCAAATTCCAGAGTTTGCTTGGACTTAGTGTCAGTTGGGGAGGGTGGCAACAGAGATATTTCCGGGTGGGAAGAGGGGAAATCATTTTGAGGGGTTTTGGTATGTCTAGTCCTTCAGATATACTGCATTTCTGTTTATGTGAGCCCACAAGCATCTCATTTTTAAGTATCTTCCACTACTTTGACTTGTTATTTAAAACTGTCTTAAATCTTTGCCCTAAAATCATATGGTTCTGAGATCTTACATGGGGTTTGCTTTTGTGGTTTGTTTTTTTTTTTTTGCATTGTAATCTTGCAAGTTTGTCACGTGAAGCTTAGAACCTTAGAGACTTGAGCCAGTACAGCACTATGGTAACAGTTTATATGCCATCACGGTGCATTTCATGACTCAGTAACTGCAAAACCTGTTGGGGAGAAGAAAAATAAGTGGGGATTTTGTTTGTTTTTTGGTTTTAATGTAGCGCTTTCAAGGTGCTTTGGGTTCATGGGAAAGGTGTGTGCTGTGGGGAGGTGTGTGGCTGAACCAGAGCTGAAGGGCAGGGCCTGGAATCAGCCTTGGGAGCGTTCCTCCCTCTGCAGCCCTCCAGGGCTCAGGGGCACGGCATCTCTGGCTGCAGGAATCCCAGCGGAGCGAGGGGAGACCTCCCCGACCTTCTCCCGGGGTCAGGGTGGTGGGTTTGGGCTGCGATGGCCCAACAGCTTTCAGGAACTTGGGATGAACTTTCAGGAACTTGGGATGAAGGTGCTTTTATCCAGTTGTGGCTCGGTGTCGGCGGAGGAGAAACCACTTCAAAACTGGTGAGGAGGATTCAAGAGCACTTTGGTACGTGTCCCCTGGAAGCACACAGGTCTGCAGCACGATTGTACAAGTGCCACGGCCAGAGCAGGGACTTGTTCCCCTGACGTGGGAGAGGGGCCACACATCCTTCCTGGGTCTCCACAGAGAGCCTGTAATTCTGTAATTACGAAATCTGGTATTTTATTTTTTTTCCAGAACATGAGCTCTGAAATGGCCAGGGCAGCTGGCACCAAAGGAAGGCCAGGCAGAGCCCCCAAGAGCAGTCTGAGCAGTTTTTTTGTCTTGAACTGGGGGAAAATGCTGGCAATAATTTTACCCCAAGGTGAGTGTAGGGTCTGGCCCCCAGTCAGTGCTGCCGCTCCATTTTTGCGTGCCCAGGTGGATGTGGTGCCGCTCCAAGGGTGGACAGAGCTATTCTACATCCACTCCCCAAGTCTCTTGCTCTCTGGAGGTGACAGAAGCTCCTCATCCTGTAAATGGGCGTTAATTAATGGTGATCACCTCCAGTCTGTGTCCCTCTGCACCTGGTGTGGGAGAGGGGACAGAGAATCCTGTACTGACGGGTCAGCGCTGCAGCTTCCTGCGGTGTTTGAAGGGTTTTAGAGATGGAGCCACCTCCTTTGCTGATGTCAGAGGCCTACACTGTCAGAAGCAGCTGTGAATTTAAGGGGAAATAGTTTGAAATGGGTTTATTTTAATGAAATAAAGCGAGGTGAAATGTTTGCCTTTAATGTGCTAGAGAAATCTAAAGGTGGGGCTTTGGCAATAATCTTTCCTTGTGTCAGGTAAATACTGCAGGTCCCATGGTCGTGTTCCCTGGGGAGTGCCCAAGGGTGACTAATAATTCTCAAATAAGGGACCAGTTCTTGTGCTGGTGGCATCAGTGCTGCTACTGGGCCAAAGCAGGAGATGAGAAACGGGCCAAGTTGCCTCAAAACATCAGTTTCTTGGAGAAGTGTCTGTTGTTGGAGTAAGTGACCTATTCTGGTGGCGTTAACAGATACGCTGGAAGGAAAGGTTAAAAAACCACCCATAATACATGTTTTTCAGTGATATCACAATAATTTATAAAGTCATCAAAACAAATTCAACATCTATTAACAAGCTGATCTTGGAGGCAATATTTAAATTACCAGGACATTTTGGTGAAGCTGAAGGCACCTTGAAACGAGATGGAGTTAGTGGTAAAAATCCTGCTGCCTTCTGCAGCATCCTCTTGAGTCCCACTGTCCCACCAGCTGCACAGCTTCCTCTGCTCTACTTCATACAAGTCCCATTTGGTGCTAACTCAGTAGGAATCACCCTCTCCCTATCTACATCAGTATTTACTGTTCCATACCAGGCACAGATTCTGCACATTGATTGGAAAGAGACAAAAAATTGCTTGTGGTTTTTCTATTCCTTTGTGTCAGACAGAGGTCAAGCAACTGGTTTTCCACAGGCACCTTTCTGACTTTTGGAATTCTTTTCCTCTAGGTGTTTCAACAAGAAAACAGGGAAAAAAAGGCCGCAGAGCCCAGCTGGCCACCCTGTTTCTGCTGTCAGAGTCCACAGGGGTATTTATCAGCCAAACAAAGAGGCCACACCGAGTGCCAGGGAAGCTTTTGTGACAATGGAATCCTGAGCTATTTCTGTATAATGGGCTCTGATACCAGCCCCTGCTCTATCCTGCCTTAAGTGAAGTCACTCTGTGTGCTCACAACTCAGTCACCCAGCAAGGAACAGTCCTGCTCTGCACTCACAGCTCATTAGGAAGTAGCCAGCCCTAAGAAAAGCACTGCTTAAGACAATGATGGGCACTTACCTGCAGCCAGTTTACTGCAACAAGGAATTAAAAACTCATTCTAGGTAGCATTTTGACAGGGAGAGAAACTCCTTTGACTCTTCTAATCAGAGTTGGCCCCATAAAAGCTACAGCAGGAATGGCGTAAGAGGGAAGATCTCTCCCCTTGCAACCTGCTTTGAGGAAGATCTGTCATTTCTACTGCTGATTAACAGCCTTCTAAAAACAGAAGGGCATTGCTTCATGGGGAGTTTCCAGGTGGGAACTTAGTGAGGTGTCACAGATCAAACCACCTGCAGTTCTTTTATTATTTTAAATTGTAACTAGAGGGTAGATTTGAACTGAAGCCAAACCAGGCACACTGTCCTTCTGGAGGCAGCTTAATTAATTCATCCAGTCAGTACAACGTGGCCAGAGTGGTCAGTGACCCCCTGAGCTTGCCCTGAGCCAGGGAGCTGAGAGTTCACTCCAGCTGCAGGAGGGACACGGACAGAGGTCTCACGTGCCCGAGAGCACAGGCACTGTGTCGGGTACCTCCTCCTGCCCCTGCCCTAACTCTGCACCTGATCGCTGGGAAACCAACAGGACAGCATGCTGGGACACAGGTTTTTGGTTACAGACCTGTTTACTTAATCATCTGCCTTCTGGGGAAAAAAACTGGTCATTTTATCAACTCATAAAAGCAGGGAAACCAAGCTGAGGAAGGGGATGAAAACGAAACAAATTCCTTATCTCTGGCTACTGTGACAAATTCACTTGATTCCTTAACTGAAGTAGCAGTAGTTTGATTCAGGCTTTTTTTTTTTTTTTGATTCACACTTTTACAACATCGTATTTTCAATGAAACCACTTTTGCTGATACCTTTGACAGCTTCTTTAAGTGGTCAAAAAATCACTCATTTGCAACAAATCAGCATATTCAGTAGGATCCTAAATCAGGATTCGTGACAGCTGCCCCATGATAGGACCTTCCTACAAGCCAGCACAGTCCCACCACGCTAACCGAGCAGCTCTTCAGCTCTCAGCTGAGAGGTACAATTGGGGTTTTTTTAACATTCATTAGGTTTCAGTAACCTAAAAATATCGAGACTGGGGGCTATATGAACTGCTTAATTAGGTCCCAATCCTTACAACTTTATTAGTGGCTTTTAAAGCGTGTATAAAATGACTCAACGTCCAAGAATGGCAGTCTGATAAGGAGCAGAACTGTATTAAACCAGCAGGGGAAATCAGACCATTGGGCCTGTTTTGACCTGTTCAAAAGATCAAATTGAAGACAGAGGTCTAAAATTGAGGAACACGCCTCAAAGGCAATTTGTAGAGAAGCCCTGGAAAAAGAGCTTTCTCTGCAACACCAATTCTGAAGAGCTTTAATGAGCCCAGGAAGCTACAACTGTTCAGATGAGCTATTACTTTGAATCCGACCGCCAGATTTGTTGATGGCACAGGAAAGAAATGTTTTCTCCAAAAAGGAAGGTAAAAGTCTTCCATGGCAATACAGGGTGTAGTATTCACAGAGTTCAGCATTCCCTTGATTTGTGTGTCACATGTTTAGCTTTGTGTGATGGCCAACTGCTGTCTGATACCTGAAACTGTGGTGTGTTCTGGTTGAGCTTTCACACGAGGCTTCCTGGCCAGGACACCACAGTGAGGGTGACTTTGTTCTTTTGCTCCTTCAGCATTGGGATCAGCTCCGAGTTGCTCATTCCTATCGCTGGCACTCCGTTTACTGCCACTATTTCATCTCCACACCTAATCAGAAGACAGAAAACATGCATGTCAGGACTTCATTATTGTTAACACTGCACCCTAGGACCCCCAAGGACATCTAGATGCTCAACTCTTTGGTGAAGGAACTTTTTCACTAGATGAATGATTAGGGGCAAGGAAAGGATGCAAGCAGTGGTTGGTGTCAGAGGCTTTTGACCCCTCTGGGTCAAAGAGGGGAAGGGAAAAGGAGGATGCTGCTGGTACTTGTGTGACACAGCAGAGAAGGTCACCAGCTGTGTGACCAGCTGTCCACTCAGCAGAGGGAAAAGCTACAGAGAACCTATATCATAGAATCATAGAATGGTCTAGGTTGGAAGAGACCCTTGGGATCATCGAGTCCAACCATCTCCCCTCCTCTACAAAGTCCTCCCCTACACCATGTCCCTCAGCACTGCATCTAAACGGCCCTTAAACACAGCCAGGGATGGGGCCTCCACCCCCTCCCTGGGCAGCCTATTCCAATGCCCTATCACTCTTTCAGTGAAAAATTCTTTCCTAATGTTCAATCTAAACCTACCCTGTTGGAGCTTGAAGCCGTTCCCTCTCGTTCTGTCACTAATTACCTGTAAGAAGAGACCAGCACCAACCTCTCTACAGTGTCCTTTCACGAAGTTGTAGAGAGTGATGAGGTCTCCCCTCAGCCTCCTCTTCCTCACACTAAACAGTCCCAACTCCCTCAGCCGCTCCTCATATGATTTGTTTTCCAAACTGATAAACACACTCATCACCCACGTTGCTCCTACAGCTGCTGGACTAGCAGTCACTAAGGTGAGGCGCTCACGACTGGAGCACACTGTCGCACTGGAGCTCTATCCAGTAGATGTTTCAGAGCCCTGCTCTATGGCACTCCAATCTCTCTGGGCAGTGGTACCATCCAGCTGGGACCATGAGGCACTGAAGCCAGCCAGCTCCCTTCCTTGTGTCTAACGGGGAAAGCACCTTGCTGTGCCAGCCCTCAAATGGGAGCCTGGTCCTCCCGCTGAGGCTCTGACCCAGCTCTGTTCTGGTTTTCAGGGGAGCAAAGCCCAGCTCCCTGCACTGAAAGGGTGTCCCTTCCAAGATGGCAGCCTCACTTTTAGTTTTTACAGCCCTGCTGAGAAGCTGGCTCTGTTGGCTCCCAGAGAGCCAACTGGGGGGTTCTCCAGCTCCACTGCTCACTCTCCACTCGCTGCAATTGTTCACAAACAGGTCAGCAAAGCTCGTTTTAAGCTTCCTGCACAGGAGGGCTTTTGTTGCTGTAACTGGGATACTTTTCCTAATCCAGGAGATTTTATACTCTGGAGCCTGGCAGGATTCATCTCAAACATCCCCTTTCTACGTTTATCTAATGACTCAATTAAAACCTTTACAGCCTTTTTAAGATGTAACTGTTAATTCCTTTTAGTTGCACCTTTATAGAGAAACTAAACCACTTATTAATATAGACTTGGTTTGTTACAACTTTGGTAACAGTATTAACTGCACAAACGAGCGTCTAAGAATTCGGAGTCATTAACTTTAAGCTCAGCTAATTAAAAAGGTAAAAGACAGCCCCTCAGTGACCTGGTGCACACTGATACAAGTACCCATGGTGTTTCTGACACAGCGACCCGCAGGGCAGCTCATACGTACTTCAGTTTCCGGTCTCGGAAGGCAGGAGTCCCCGGGACTATGGTTTTGATGAAGAAGGGTTGGTTTCCTTTGCTTTCCTCAAAGCCTCCAACAATGCTGAAGCCCCAGCTTTCCAGGTTACCTTTGCTAAGGACAATATCTTGACAGAAGTGAAGGTAGCTGTGAAGACAAGCACAGTCAAAACCAGAGAAAGCTGATGAGTGTGTTTCAAGGAAAACCATCTAAATAGAAAATTATGTTTTCCCTTGCAGAAAGCGCAGCTATGGAACAGTCTCCTATTTATTTTCTTTCTTTAAGGACTGGAGGCAACCCCTTTGCAGGGCACATTACAGGGATAATTCTCAAATCTGAAGATGCCAGTCCTTTAGAAATATTTTCTCAGCATTGTCAGTGCTAGTTTAAGAGTTAGCAGAAAATTACCATAATCAAAAGGGGTTTGTGACCTGAAAGACTCATGAATAAATTCATGAATTCTCCTAATGAACACGCACAGTACTAGTGACAAAAACAAATTAATCATGAACAGCAGTTACACCCATGCAATATATGGGAACCAAGCTTTTTTTTTTATTCCACCTGTACACTCCAGGCTTGGTACAATGGAGGCATTCAGCAGCTCCGTATCACTGACGGAAAGCAAACATCTGAGCTATGGCAGCCTTTCTTTTACTGACTCTCAAATTGGAATATGAAAAGTCTTTCCTGGAGGAGCTACACCCAGGCTCGCTGTGTACAGGAGGAGATCAGCCTCCTCGGAGAGCCAGCAGAGACCACTGCTGAATGCCAGCCACTGAGGTCTGTCACCTTGGAGAGTCCCCAAGCACTAACAGCGCTCGCTCCTTCAGTTTGTAGCACAGAGACGGGCAGAGCCTTGGGGAGGCGTCTGAGGAGGGGTGGCAGGAGCACAGCCCGTGGACTCTGCTCACAGTCAGGGTACCTTCTGGCACTGACAGAGCTACACTCTGTGAAACTGCCGCCCATCGCCCTGCTGAAGTATTCCAGCAGCTAAACTTTTCCTAATAAACGTTTTTGCCTCAAGGGCTTTGCTCGAGCAGTTTGCAGATGAGTTTCAGATTTCAAAAGCCTTCTCAGTTAACTTCTCACTAGGAGAGGGATCCAATTACCTACTTTCAAACTGTAATTTACTTTTGTACGAGTTCTTCACACAAACACTGGAAGACCCAGCTGCAGCTCACGGATGGTTTACTTCTACTGGTACCACACGAGTGTAAAAATACAGCTGTGAGAAATGCATGTGGCAGCTCGTGCAAATAAATAGCCCAGAGAGCAAGAGTGGCAAGAATTACATCACCAGAGAACGTAAAAACATTAGAAACGTTCTCCAAGAGCTGGAAAAGGTAGTTTGCTAGAAATCAGTTCACCGTGTAAGAAAGGGTTTTTAGGAAGAGAAATGTGAATTTACTATCATGGAAAATAACTGTGGGAAAAGAACTTCAAGCTTTACAGAAAGTAAAGGTGTGAGTTTTATTCTGACAAACACCCTGCTGAGTTTGCAGTCCTGCAGACTTTTAGAAACTGCTTTTCCACCCCCTGAGAATTATCTGTAAGCCACACCGTGCACGGTGATCAGAGTCAAAGCTTTTACAGAGAAAAAATAAATTGATCTTTCAATTCAGTATTTCCAGTATCTTTAGGATTCAGTGTGCAATGAATTAGGACACACACACCCTCCAAACCAGCGTTTTGAGATGGTATTTTATAGTATCAGTAGCTGGTATTGATTTAATGTAATAACTATGAAGAAATCAGGTAAAGTTCCTATGCTGTCTTCTGTGACATATGCAGTGACGATGATAAACATTCAGAAGCAGTAAGTAGTAGCATACAATTAACCTGGAACGCTCACCACCACCAATTACTAACAAAGCAAAGAATGGAGAAGGAGTAAGTTTACAAAGACATCAGAGGTACCCACAGTTCTATTAAAAGACAAAAAAAATGCCAGAAAGCTACCAGCCAGCTGGGTCAGCACAGAAATACCTCAGGGGCCTGAGGTTAGGTGGAAAAATACTACTACGCTGTCTTTCTTATGAAGATGTTTGTATCTTCATTGGAAGTGCAGCACTGGCTGTGGCTTTGTGCCACCTAACCATCCTCACAGCCACAGAGGAACAGCAGACAAATTCAGAGGCCTGAATTCAGGTCGGAGTAAGAAAGGAAGACTGAAGAGTAGAAAGGGCAGGTGAAATCACTGCTCCTTGCTTCAGCAGCAAGGTACAGAAACAGTCAAATGAAGAGAAGCCAACATTAATACCAGCACCAAAGAATTTTGAGCCATGTATTGAGTGGCAGGTGATGTCAATATACTCTTGAAATGAAGGCAGGTGACCAATGAGCAAAGAGGGTTCTCCAGTCCCTGCAGCAGGAAGTGTGGTGAAGCTGCAAGCCACCAGACATCCAAATAGATTGGAAAAGGAAGGAGGAAGAAAGGCAGGTTTTGCCTTGCTATGCCTCACTGCAGAAGCACCCATGAGGAACTAACACCGGCCAGCATCTGAGGGTTTGCACTCAGGTTTGGGCTACCCAGGTGCAGGTGGGGCTAGTTCATACCGGGCCTGCACGGAGCAGACGGGCTGGTTCCCTGGGAGAGCAGAGGAAACCGAGAGGACGGTGCTGGGTACGAGCCAAGTTGCAGTTGCTGGAGACACAAAAGCTGCCTTCCTTGGGCTGTTTTGTTTAGCACTTACTGGCTGCTAAGTAACACAAGGATAACGTCACAGAGGCTTTGTTAGGATTTCTTCTTTCAGGTGCTTCAAGAAACAAGGCTGTAAATAATCTGGGCTTCCCACAGAAGGGTTTGGCTTTAACGTTTCATGTGCATCTCCTGCACGATCCTTCTCTAGTCAGCCAGAATGAGAACAGGCTCTGCCTTTTACAGCTGAATGTATTTTGATGACACTTCTGAAATATGGCTACTGTCCAAGAGAAGTAGGGGAATGATGCATCACACCTTAAAAAGCAGTGGAAGTTTCCTATGCATTCACTATACTGTGATCTTGTTGACAAATAAGGCGTTACGCTGCCTCAGAGCTAAACCAGTAACACTTCCAAGTCAACCAACAAAGCAATTTTATCAGTGTTTGAGTGAAAGTCAACTCTGATTGAATAAACCTCTAACAGTCACTGAACAAACCTACCTTGGCAATCCAAGCCATGTGATCCAGAGAGGAGACCAGCTGAATCCTTGCTCCTTGATATCCAGAGAGGGCTCTGTCGAGTTCACTGAAAGGATTTCCAAGGCTTTCAGTACAACTGAGTGGGAAGCTGCGTTAGATTTCAGTGCTGAGACAGCTTCATAGTAGTTCAGGTGAGTCAAATCGATGCCATTTATGCTCAGAAGTACATCTCCTGGTGATTAAATAAGACAGGATTATTACAGACCTTTGGCTATGAAGCCCATTTCTGCCTCAAGATCTCACATGGAATCCTGTTTCCAGCCTCACTTTAGTGTCCAAGTCCAATTTTCACTGAAAAAACCCCAAAACCCAAACCCTAAAGGGTTCTGAGATTTCTAAAGGGTCTGAGAGCCTCCTTACCTCGCTTGATTCTGCCATCCCTGAATAGGCATCCGATGGGCTGCACACTCGTTACATATATAGGGAGCTTGTTTCTGTTATCCCTTCCGCCTCCAATTGTTATTCCTAAAGATTCCTTTGGTTCCTTTTTTATTGCAACTGTCTTTTCGTGACTTACATATCCCTGAGGTAAATCCTACAAAGGAACGACAGTACAAAATGCAGCTTCATTAATGCAATTAACATGAGAAGCCCAGATCTGGAAGAAAATAACAGAACATCATATCTTGAATCTAGAGCATTTCAGCCATGTGGCTGGATGTCAAAGTCAGCTTCTCGTGTACTTGCTTTGGGTGGAACACTGAAGTCACAGTGTGATTTGTGTGGTTCCCACTCCTGTACCATAAAGGCCTCTGCTCCAAACCAGAACCATAACTTGGTGTCACTGGGCAATGCCCTGAACGGGCTGTGCTTGATAGATGTCAAGAAGCAAATCCCAAACATCTCATGGATGATAAATTTCCCATTGCCCTTTCCAGACAAGAAAGGATTTAAACACTCATTCTGCATCAACATTAGAGACGTTAGAAGTAATTTTGACACGTTTTTCCATTAAAAAACTGTGTTTCCTAGTAGATGAGAAATACATGGTTCTCTAGTACCAAAAGCCACAAATCAGCTGCTTTGCAACAGCTCAAGAAGAAATGGAGCTACTGATTAGCTTTATGTGCTGAATCACCACCACAGAGCAAACAGTTCAAGAGGGACAGGGAACTACTAGAAAGAGTCCAGCGAAGGGCAACAAAGATGATTCAAGGATTGGAGCATCTCCCTTATGAGGAGAGACTGAGAGAGCTGGGACTCTTTAGTCTGGAGAAGAGAAGGCTGAGGGGAGACCTTATCAATGCCTACAAGTATCTCAAGGGAGGGTTGAAGGAGGAGGGAGCCAGACTCTTTTCAGTGGTTCCCACTGAGAGGACGAGGGGCAACGGGCACAAGTTGGAACAGAAGAGGTTCCACTCAAATATGAGGAGAAACTTCTTCACAGTGAGGGTGCCAGAGCCCTGGAACAGGCTGCCCAGGGAGGGTGTGGAGTCCCCTTCCTTGGAGATTTTCAAGACCTGCCTGGATTCAGTCCTGAGTAACATGCTCTAGCTCTAGGCAATCCTGCTTCAGCAGGAGAGTTGGACTAGATGATCTCTGTGGTCCCTTCCAACTCTAAAATTCAGTGAAATAACAGATCTGCTGGACCAAGAGTAACCAGTGCTTTTTCCGTTATTTACAAACCTTACCTTCTGGTAGGTAGATTTTCGTCTGTAGTGATTCTGGTCCAGTCGTCTCCGATGGTGCACCGGGCTTCCTCCATTGCTGCTGCTGCTGCTGCTGTTATTGGATGTGCTGCCATCTTCCACCAGGTCCGAGAGCTGCACACCCAGCTGCCTCAGGACGACAAAGTTCACTCTGGATTCAGTGGTCTGCCAGGAGAAACAAAGAGAGTGTAAATAAAATCGATAGAAAAATAAATTAGAAATTAGGGACGGCCCCTGTGATTTTCTTGGGGAGAGAGAAGGGTTGGCATTGGTTTCTACAAAGAGTCTGAAACGGGACTATGCCGCGTGACGCAATGTTTTTTTTTGAAATGCCACAGAATCATATGGGGAAAAGAAAAAAAGTCATTAGCAAATGTTAGTCAGAAGGAGCTAAGGCAGGTTTCACTCATGCCTCCCTCCCCCACAAATGCCAAACAAGAGAAAATGGAAAAGGATGATTAATTCCTCCACTTCATAACCAAAATAGCATATTGTGTTGTGATACAAAATGAACAGAGCCGGAATGGTGACGGGTCCACACGATGGATGACCTTGATATGAGTATTGGAGGCTTTTTCTTTTATTGTGAAGAAACTTGTTAAAACTCCTTCCCTCCCAGCTTATGCACCATGTCTATTGTTCAGCATCTCCCACCCATTTTTTTCCCAGAGTACCTGAAGGCACGACCTTTTGTCTAAGGTTGCTGCCAATTAAACACTTAACCAGCTGTAAGTCTGGCCTTGGCAGAACTACAGGGAAACTATTGACTATTGTTACTGCTCTTCTAATTTGGTTTGTTCTTTCAGATAATTTGACAAAACCTTATTGTGAAGGACTCCATTGGAATAAGGCCTATGTCCTTAGTTGGGGCATTTCCTGCAACGGATGAGAGAAGAACGGTTGCTGCTCTCACTTCTTGACACAGGACCCCGTGTCCCTGGTGCCACAGCACCCTGACAGCAGGGAATTCCCTGGAAAAGGGACTGCAACAACTGTTTGTTTGTTTGTTTTTTTCTTTTTCTTTTTAAACTAGTACAGGAGAGTTTTTCTTTTCTGAAATTTAAAAGCATCTTGCCTCCACAGTCACTTCAGATAGAGCCATTTTTTTTTCCAGACAGTCAACACACCTCCATGTCTTCATAAAATATATTATAATCATCATGTTCTGAGATGGGGATTTGCCCTCCCGTTCAACCAGGACTGTATACAGTACATATGGCTGTGCATATATATATGTATATATAGCTGTAAGTGGTACTTTACAGGTAGAAGGACTCTTTTCTGCACACGGTTTGCAATGAAAATTAAAATTCCATTTAACAAGGAATTTGAATCAGCCCTCAGAAGAACAGATAACCTTTGGAAGACTCTCACAGTTTTACACAAACGTCACTTCAGAAGGAATTCAATCCCCAAACCTAACAAAGGCCGTTCTGAGTCTGTGGTTACTGATTTCAGTGGGATCAAGAAAGAGTTCTTCATTCAGGAATTACGTTTGCACATTGCAACAGAAATACAGCAGCACTTGTGGGATGCAAATGTAATTCTAAGAGGCCATAGAGTGGAATCACATCTAGAACATAGAAAAAGGGATCTCAGTACTGGAACTCTGTTCTTTCTCTTCTCCCATGCCACTGCAATCCTCTGCTGATTACAAGGAAAATAACTGGCTTTTCCCTCACTGCTGACCTCAGATCCTTTCCGGGATATAAACAGTATGTGATGAGATGCATTGTGTCGGGATCTTTAGATAAAAACAGAAACTGGAGGTCATTGCCTAGGGAGATAAAGAATTTAAACTGATCTACGTGATATCTGCTGCACATGTAGCAGTCCTTAATCCTTAACCAAAATTCCTTGCCCACTCCTTCCACCAAAACATCTGGCATGCTGCAACAGCCGCACGTCCCTATGGCACAGGGAAAGACCACCTCTCTTCTACCCATTTAGTATTTTAGAATGGTTTTAGCCTGAAGTGCCTCCCTTCCCAAATGCAGATAAAATGGGGAGGGCTGGCTTCAAATCAGTCAAAAGGGTTCTGTTCTGTGCTTCCTGCCTGTCACATCTCCCAGCAAACACCTTCAGTTTGCCTGTTTGAAGCACTAGAGTCTCTACCAATCTCTCCTTGTCTCTGCTGCTTGTGTCTGCACAGCACATATGGATATTCACTCCGCAAGAAAGGCTCCAAACTCCACAGCACAGAAGAGATGCAGTTGCCTTAGCTGAACCGAAGGGCCATGAGCAACTGCCTCACCTCAGACTCGTCAGAGATGACTCACCATGGATTCCCACTCTTCGTGTTTATCTTCATTTGGAAGAGGTGCTTCCCACACATCCGCAGGGAAGTCACTTTCCCAAAGAGATATTTCAGGGAATGCAGTTTGCAGTAGTGTGGCTCAGAACAGGAGCCCTGCCATCAATGCAGGCAGCTGCGGAGTCATGAGCCATAAACCTCACCATGTCATAAATTACCTGGATTATCTGCGCAGCGGACTCGGGTGTTCCTTGCCTCAAATCCTGGCCGTTTATTGACAGGACTCTGTCATTCCGACTCAGTTTTCCATTTTTGGCTGCCAAACCTCCCTCTAACAGATCTAGAATAAAAATCCCTGCCTCATCTGTCTTCCTGATCAGCTTGATTCCCAAGGGTTCGGATCGGTCTCTCTTTATCAAGGTAACGTGGATCACTTCCCGATTTGTAGCAGAAGTGGAATCCTGCTGTGCAGTCTTGTTGGAAAAACCCTTCTCCTGCAGGACCATGAGGTGGAGAACAGGACCTGGGTGGCGCAGGAAGGAGACAGCTTGGCAGTGAGTCACACTGCTGATGTTGACGCCATTCACCTAGAAAGACAAACAAACCGGAGTCACTAATCAAAACCTACATAATTTAGGCACTGTCCAGAGTGCAGAACATCACAAAGTTGGAGACAACTCCCTGTGCGATGCTGTGACTGCAGCAGCTGCTTCTGATGAGCATTAGAGAGCAGAGTTTTCTAAAAAAAGAATGCAGAGGAAAGCAGATGCAATTAGACCACAGTTGATGGTGAATAGCTGAGGACAGGGACAAGACAGGACAATTCATATAACTAACAGACCTGAAACTGCAAAACATTAAATTGTTACATCCATGGCAATACAGCACTGCTTTCCCTTAACTTCCAGTGTTCAACGCACACTCAGAGAAGACTCAAATCAGAGACTACCCATCCTCACCCTTAAGTTAAAGAATGGTCCATTCAAGCTTCTGGAATCATCAGTCTAATCACGCTTTTAACAAAGTAACTCTCAGAAACTAGGTCTTGCTTTGTCTGTTGTCACATAAGACACTGTGCAGTCTTCTTTTAGGGTGTTAATAGGGAACCTGTCCTTTTTACAACCCAGTCAAGACCGAGACGTGTACAATACAACTGGATGAAACAGAAGTTACTCTTTTGTTCTAAGAAACCAATTCGGAGATTGTATCAGCTGCTTGTGCGTGTGGGGCTGCCAGTCCTCACTGCAGTCCAGAGTCCAACAGGATAATTAGGGCCCTATGGCTCTTCAAATGCTTGGGCAGCCATAGCCAGGAGGTGCCAACAGTTCTCGCTCCATCTAGGTTTTACAAGCTTGTGTCACCTCAATTAGCCCACTGCCATGCAACGTGATTAATTTGGAAATGACATCTGGCCCCGTGGGTCAGCATGGTATGAGGTTGGTACACTTTATTACTCACAGTACATATCTGATGCTTTACTTCAAGTCGTAAGGTCTTACACTTCGGACCTGCCCATTGAGAATATGCAGCTTAAGCAACGTAGGAATTCTCATAATTGCTTGCCCTACTAACTCGAGCACAATCCTTTGGAGATAAATGGTGCTACTGGGTGAAATTATCAGTTAGAAATCTTTTCATTTTATCCCAAATGGACTAAAATTTCAAAAAGCTGTCAAATATGCAAAGTAAATACGAGCATGACTGGAAGGAACCTCAAAAGTCAGCCCCAGCAGACAACACAATGCTACTGACACACCAGACTGAGCACTGCTTTTAAACCCTCAGCTGAAGAGATTTCCCAGTTTTCCCAGTCAGCTTTCCTCCCCCAGCCCTCCCCTAAAGTCAAGGGAAGCAATGAGACTAGCAGTGGGGTTTCACAGACCTCAAGAATATGGTCCCCAGGTGCTATTCTTCCATCCGCAGCGATGACAGAATCGCGCAAGACTTCCTGAACAACGATGTTTCCGAGTGGGGTGTCTTTACCCCCAACTATCCTCATCCCCAGCTCTTCCTCCGGGTCTTCTCGGTGAATTTCAATTGTGGTAGTTTCAGCCACAAGACTAGTTCTCTGAGGAAGATCTGATTGTGGAAATTGAAGAGAAAAAACAACACTTTAATAGAATTTTCTTTCACGCAGCACCACAAGATTTGTAGCACTGGCAGGTTGTGTCCAAAGTAGCACCTGAAGGGAGAGCAGCTATCAGGAGAGGGTCAGTTTAAAAACTTTAAAAGCTCCTGCTTCTTTACAGTTTCTCCAGAACGTTTCCCATCTTCTCCTAGCTTATGGCAAATTTAATCTCTTTAATTATTATTTCTTGAGTTTTATTACAAGGCATTCAGTATGTTTCACTTACCATTTAGAGATTTATTTTTCTCGTAGCCTACTAGAAGCACACCCATAACAAATGCCAATTTCCATGATGCCCATTACAAAAGGGGACTCCTAAGCTGTAATTACTTGTGGTGACTTTACCACGAGTAACTCACTGCAACTTCCCTCCTCTAATTTCCTTTCCTCTTCTTTTCCCATCCTCCCTGTAAACCAGGAGTAATGTTTGCCTATTCACAGCAGGCTGAAGACTAAGCAATGTTCCTCACACACTTTGAAGATGAAAGTTGTTGTTAGTGAGTGGTATTAAACCTACCAGCACTGCAACATTCAGGCAGGCCCCACGCTCACGAAGCCGAGTGTGCTGCCTGTCAGGGTGAACTGCAGTTGTCACACAAGAGATGCAAAACCTGCCCCAAGTGTTCTCCAGGAAAAAGCCAACAGAGAAATAAACTGACCTGTGGATTAACTCGGGCACAGGCACCACAGTTGCCAGGTCCAGCACCTGCACTTGGAAACTAAGACTAACTCTGAAACAAGGCACAGAGATTTTTCCACGCCGCTGCCTTCTAACGGGGGCTGAGACAAGCAAAGTGGTTCTATCCTCAAGTGAAGCTGGTTAATTTTATCTGCAAGAGTTTCATAACTATTAATCCAAAAACTAACTTACGTTGTAAAAACACACTTGCTGCACGCCATTAGGAAGGTACTGATCACTCCAGAAAACTGACTGTCTATTTAACTTTTTTAACAAGATAAGAAGAAGATGGAACACTTCCTAACTACTAATGATTTGGTATCTGCAAGTGCTTGAAGTGCTCTGTGTTCACATTGACAGGGGCTGCCTTTGTTTCTGCAAAGAAGGCTGCAAATATTCACTGCAGTCTAACAGATTCTCAGAATTGTTTTGCACAGAGGGGGTTGTGTTGCACAGAGAGTTTGGTGCTTGGGAACAGATCCTGCCACACCTGACACACGTGGATAAAGCTCCCTCTGCTCAAGGACAACCTGAGGAGAGAGAGGACTTTGATAACTACGAGTGGCTGAATAGCACTGAGGATATCTAAGAATGTTGGGGACACTTTAAAAATTGAACTGGGACAATGACCTCATTTTTATATCATAAACGGTAATTACATAATTACCTTTCTGTATCAAACTCTCACCTTCTTCAGTCTCCTCAAAAGCTGGATTAACCAGTCCAGGCTCTGCAGTCCCTAGTGATACTACAGCAGCTGCAGAGCTTTCTGCCACAAGTGATGATCCTCCGCTTGGTACCTCTGGATCCTTGGGTGTGTTTGTTTCCACCTTGGTCGGGGGGTCTTCCTTCCCTTTGGAAATGGGATTCTTTTTCCTCTGTAGTTCAGATTTGTACTTCTTGAAACCAGGACACCTAGAGAGAGATTGTCAGTAAGTGGGTAGTCTCTGCCTGCGTGGTTAACCTTGCACGTGCAAGCTGTGATGGACAAAGGTATATGTGAAGAAGCACGTTCAAGATCTCATCAGCTGCAAAGCTTGTATGACAGATGCTGAAATTTATTCTCATTTGACCTACAGCTTCTACTTGGACTAGTATCAGCTTAAGAGCAGGCCTGTTATTTTATTCCTTTCAAAATTATTAAGCAAGTCATTTTAAAAATGAGAATGTAATAAGAGCAGCAGTCTCCCTTGCTAAATATTTACCTGGCAAACACTCAATGAAGAAAACAGTACCTCTTAAAATATAAGCAAATACTTAGCTCTGACCTTTTAGAGAGGACTATGAACTGTATCTTTAAGCAAATGAAGTGGCTCAAGTTTCAAGTTCAGCCTTGAATTAAGGCTTTGTTTTTAACAAACCAGTAAGATGCAAGAGTAGCAAGCAAGGCTTGCTTTTTGTTGTTGTTGTTGTTGCATGAGCTGCCCCTCAGACCCACCCCAGCCCCACTCCACACAGGTGAGGGCTCTACTCCAACGGGAGCCATTTAGAGGAGTTTATAATCCCACTGACTGCTCCCCACACCCAGGTTCAACAAAACGTGCTCTGCCTGCAGCTACACCAGAGCCAGCCCGGCTCAGCAAAAACGAGCCAGGAAAAAGCAGCTCTTTTATCAAGAGTACTTATAAAAAAAAGTGGCAGGTGAGGAGGGTGATGAATGCAAAAGCATCACTTTCAGAGACATGAGTAGTATTGGGTGTTTACCAAAGTCACTTTTCAAATTAAACTCGACTATTTACATTCTAGCTAAACAAGTCTCATCCCAGTATTACTTCCCCTGATTTATTCCTAGTCATTTACTCTCCGAGCAGTAAAATGACCCTGAAACTTAAAGACAGAAGCTGACTGAACCATTTGTGCACTTAAGGTGTCAAGAAACAAATTCCTTTTGCAAAGGGTAGAGAAATCTCCCAAGAAAACAAGTTTCTAGATGCTTCTTATTTCCTTAAGGCTCCTGCTATCAGTTAACCTCACTTTAAAAAACAGAACACCCAAATCCCAGTGTAATTTCTTTTTCCCTCATCTTTTTTTTCTTCCCCATTTTTCTAACTATGCTCACAGGCCAGGTGAAAAAACCTTATTTTTTTAGAACAACCCTCTCCCCAAGGGAGATAGAAAGAACTATGAAATGTAGAACAGAATGATACAGTTTCCCGACAGGTCTCTAACATAAACATTTAAGGGTGCCTCCCTCTTCTGTGTTTGACTCCTGTGCCAAAGGGATTAACAAGTGACAGGAGTTTACTGATACCAGGGTAGATTTACAGAGCAGAGAGGAAGGCCCAGCCCCAGTATGGGCCATGTCCCCAGCTGCACAGCTGGGCAGCCCTGTCCCTGCAGTTTTAAGCATTCAGCTGATAACAAGAAAGCACTACAATGAGTTAGCTCAAGAAAAAGGGGATTATAAACTCTCATAGATTGAGGGAAAGGGGCACACAAACATCCTCCATCACTTCCCCTGGCTCTAACACAAGCTCTCAGATAGTGGGTACCGAAGACAAGAAGAACCACAAGGATATATCCTTGGCTGGGACTGCAAAGGTATCCTAAGCATAACCGTTCCCTGTACGCTGGTTGACCTATTTTTAAAATAAGGAATGGCTACAAAAAGCTACACCACAGCTGAAGGGAACCAAGCCTGTTGCATTTCTCATTGCCCACTGACAAAACACACACTGGCAGTGAAGGTCTGGTTCCACCTGCAGTAGGGCTTGTACTTAGCTCCTTTTTAGCTCCCTTTCCTGCAATCATTAACTAGGTAGGAACAAGTGTTCTTCAAGCTCCCTGGCAAGAGCCCTTTGTCATCTGCTCTTCTTTTAAAGCTACAATATTCTGCCTGTGACCAGCCCGACCAGCAGTGAAAGCACCAAAACACGTCTCTGCTGACAAGCACAAGAAAAACAAACAAAAAAAGCCTCTCTTCATCTGCATAAAGGAGAAAAAGAAAAAAAGTATTTTTCATTTTCTTCTCTTTCTGAGCAAAAGAATGAGAGAAGATAATGGAACTGTAAGTAGGTGATTCATCAACTGCATAATGTGCAGCTTGGAGGGACTTATATTATTTGGATCAAAGACTTATGTGTTGCACATCTTAATTGGACCAATTAAACTGGCAACACTGCATGAACCCTTGCTTCCAGAGTGTTCCACTTTGTTCCTTTCTTCTCTGCCCAAGTGAAACAAGAATAAGCATGTTTATAGTAATTTTCAGAGTCAGGTGCCCCAGATGAGGACACACAAATGTTTCTATATTTGATAGGTTTTGGGTCTGTGGCTAATGTGCATTCAAGCAGGAGAGCACCTCGCCCTTTGCCTCTGTAGCACATGTGGGGTGGCCTCCCTAGCACACACACACAATTACGCTGTCTTCACCCACCCACCTTTCTGGCCTCACCCTCCGCCATTTCTGGTGTCCCATCTTGCCCCAGTTTAAGAACTGTTCTGAGAAGGGATCTTTCTGGTGAGAAGCACGGCAGACAGACGGCATTATACAATGAGCAGTAACAGCATGTAAATGGGAACACACCTGTTCTGCAGATGAGCTTCTAGTTCACACCGCTGCATCGTCTGCTGACACTCTGCCTTGAAAGGACAGAAGACAATCAGCTTATCCAAGAGGTTTCGCACTAGAAGGCTGGACTTGTGGCACTGCTGGAAAGAGAGCTTCTTCCGATCCATAGGACAAAAGTTATACTCCTGCATAAAGTTTTCGAGGCACTTGAAACAGTACGTATGTCCACAGGGGGTGTCCATAGGTTGGAGCAGAGGCTGAAGGCAGATGTGGCAGATGAGTTCATCATCCACTTCATCCTGGAAGTTGTAGAGATGATTGTCCAGCAAAAGGTGGAACTGACCGCATTCGCAGCAGAGTTCACTGACTTGGGACGCGTGTTCTTCTGCTGTGGGATCAGCCATGGCAGCCAGCACCAGGCACTCTCAGCCCAGCAGCAAGGAAGGTTGTCACGTAGCAGCCGTCTGACAGAGGACCTCTAATAAAAGGAAGAAAAAGAGAGATTTCCAGCCAACTGTCCGCTCTAGATCAAGCCAATTAAAAATTAAATTGTATTCCAGCCTTAAGTTCATCCCCCCTGTATCTTCACCCTCATCTGCTCCCCCTTAGGGTTCTTCCTTCCAGACCAACCCTGTGAATGATCAACCTAGGGCTCAGAGAAAGCTTACATTACTGTACACACAGCAGTGACACAGACGAGGTAAAGCCCTGCCAAACACAGGAACTAGAAATGCTGAGACAAAAGCTTCATGTTCTTTAGGGAAAACAACCCAGAGAGGAAAGAAAAGAAAGGATAACCAAGATAGTGGGTTTTAAACTAACCCTTTTTCTCTCTGGCTTTCCAGATCATACCAAATATTTTAAAGATGAAATGGTGAAACATCAGTTTGGAGACTTCTAGTTGTTTGGATTTTTGTTCTGTGTTTTGAGGGGGGATGAGGAAAAAGAAGAGGAAGAAATTTCAAAAGAAACTTAAATCTAAACCACATTTCCTTCCTTTCAAGCCCACTCCCTTCAAAAAGGTTTGTTTTACCAAACAATGCATTGTTCCCCACTCATCCATGCCTAAGTTCACCCATGAAAACAAATTTCCTATGAAAAGACTAAAGCTTCCTAAGTGCAAAAAAATATAAAGAATTGTCCACATCCCAGCTTGTTGTAACGTAACACAAAGGCTTGAGCCTCAGCTTCTGACAGTTTGGGAAAATAAGGTAAGTGGCAAATTGAGTTCTTTGTAGCTGCTGCTCTATTGAGTTTAATAGAGGTGTCTCCAGTCACATCCATTTTGAATCTTGCTAATTGTAATTAAATATAAAAGTCACCTGAGTTTGCTACCAGATTACTCTGCAGGCACAGAGACTACTGCAGGAAGGATTGTTTTTAATCTGGCAGTTATTTTAATGAAGTAGGAAACATGGTACTAGATGAAGCTAATGTAAAACACTGCATTATACAGTGGGGGCTTTTGTTGTTGTGGTGAGTTTTTGGGGGGAGTTTTGGGGTTGTTTTTAAAGCTTTGTGTAAAAACTCCCAGATCCTATTAAAACAAAACACAAAAAAAAAATGGCGGAACTATGATGAAATGGAAAATTTCTGAAAGACAACGTGGAAAATATCTGAAAAACAATTGCTTTATCTGGAACAGGTAAAAGCCCAAGCAAGAGTGAACACTGGTCTGCACCAGTGCCTGGAGGACATGGCTGGCACGCAGCAGCAGCTCTGGAGGAGGGTAGGCAAGAACAATAAGATAGCGAGAACGGCAAGAAAAAATTAGTCATGGGTTTCTAATAAAAATCATACATCACTCCAATTAATTGTCAAGCGTAAGTCAGCTATTTAATTAAAGGGATAACGTATCACCAACAGAATCAAGCTGTTTTACAGGCGAATTTTTACCTCGCCATAGAAACTTGTTCACTTCAAAAGATTAAAACATTATTGTCAACGTTCCAGGTGGGTACAGGGCACGAGTTGTTTGCTTCTCCTGCTGCTGCAGTGCCAGAAAGCATCTTCCCCCTGAGGAAAGCACTTAGGCTGGATGTACAGACCTACCTCTGCTGTTTGAATTGACTCCTTAACTCTTGCATGACTGATTCAGTGCTCCCCAAAAGAGAAATCACAGCTCAGAGACAGCACACAAGCAAAGGAAATGTATCCACGCCCTCCTCTCTTAAAAATACCCCTGTTCTTTGGTACTCACCTCCACCTGGAACAGGCATCCCTATTGTTTGACTTATGAAATGCCTTTATTTGATCTTAAATTATCTTACTGGCACAAAGGAAACGTTTCAACATCAGACAATCACTTAACATCACCTACCAATTCTAATCAATCAGCTCAGCACCAGAAGTTAACAAAACACCAAGCTTCCAAGGCAAACAGCTACCAATAAGAAATACCTGTGCTTCGGGTTGTAGTATTTGCATAAAACTTTGGCAGGTGATTAAACAAATCTACTTTCTCAGCAAAAACAAACCCCACGGTAATTTTGCTGATAAACTACTTTTATATGGGGGTTTTTCAGATTATTTACTAAATTCATTCTCTGCTCTCTGTGTTTAAAGGTTATACAAGATGAATCCCATTTATGAGTCATTTCAAAATTTGTGGAAGATAAAAGCATCACCACAATCTTGCTGGTTTTTTCTTCCCCGTAACTCTAAGCTGTTCTGCTCTCTCAATTCTAGGCCCTCGAAAACAAGGTGTGAAAATGTCATTCTGAAGCGCCAAAAGTGAATTTTCCTTTTACACCACTGTCCTGTCGATAAGGAGGAGGCTCCTGCAGACACCAGGGAACCTAAGCCTAACACCTCGGTGCTGAAACCCAGCCCACAGCCTTCGGCAAGGCAGGAGTTAGTGAGCGGCACAGGGAGGACAGCAGGCTCAAACAAGCCTGCCGCTCGCTCGGTGATTCAGTCAGAAAGCAGATGTTCAGTAAGAGGAAAATTGCTAACATCTTATTCAGCAAAGATGACTACTGCGGCGCAACAACACAGACTTTACGTGTCTAGAAAATCCACTGTTTCAACATAACAAGCGTGGTTCCCTTCAGCTTAAATAGACCAATTTCAAGAGTCTGTCTAGGATTCTAGCTTTGGGGGTCTTTTTGCATTTTCCATCAAATTCCAGTTACTCGACCCAACCTCCAAAGGTCAGACCAACCCCAACAACCCCCTTCGTTCTTATGTTGCTCTTTTTGTTGTACCGTTCCCCCTCTCCAGTTTCCTCCCAGCAGTGCACCTTGACTGGCACGTTCCCAGTGGTACTGGGATCTCTCCCTGGGCCTCACACGTGTTTCAGCTTACACACAATGCACTAAATATGAGGGAACCATTAAAAAAAAAAAAAAAAAAGGATGGAGCTTGGTCCCAAGTCACTACTTATTGACTATATGAAAATGTTAAAGCCAGATGGATGCATATGTTGCTGCTCTAATGGACTCTTCTTCTGTTCTAAAAGTATAATGCAAGGAATGCCTCTGGTGACTGAGTTATTTAGGAAGTAATACACCCCATTCCTATACATGGCAAAGAATTGAAGGAAATTAACCAGCAGAAATCTCTCTATATTTCCCTTTTTCTTTCCCTGTGTGGGCTAAAGAAAAGATTTCTTTGAGATCACCTTTATCTTTACTGTATTTTTAAAAAAAAAAACATATTGTTGGCTTTTTTTTTTTAAGCAGATTTCTTGTACTGTAACACTGACTCAAAGAATAGACTTTTTTTTTTTAAAGGAAGACTTATCGGGTTGTCTAATCTATTTCCCTGCCAAAGCAAGACTATTCCTGACAATATTAGCACATTGCCTATTCTTGTTTTAACTCTGCTAGGGCACAGAGCCTCAGATATACACCCCCTCTCCACAGCTACAATGCTGTTAATAGCTCTAGGAGGGAGCGTGCCAAGAACCACACCGACAGCGAACCGCTCGGCACCATTCCTGATGGACAAACTGTTCATTTCTCCCAAGTTCTTCACTCCTCTCAAGCACCCTGGGCTTGTACATGAACTGATGAATTTCTTCTACAGCTTTTTAAAAAAAAATCCTTTGAAAAAAAAGCATAATTACCTAAGAAATCTTTCCAGTGTCATGCCTCCACTTGTGAGACAGTGACTGCAAAGGAATGGTGGCTGTGGTACGTGGCTACCCCAGGAGCAACATCCCTGCTTCCAATCTTATCCTTTGAAGCCTCCAAATTTCCAAACACAACTTTTTTGTTCCTTGTTTTTAAGGCATTTCAGTCTGCCATTGTTGGTGTGGAGCACAAATCATGGCACAAATCAGACCAGGCCTGTCTGCTCATACAGTTCCAGCACTTGATACAAGTCATTTTCAGTCATGAACATATTTTATCTTAACGACATCTCTGTTAGGTAGAACATTGTTGCTATTCCCATTTAAAGACTGAGAAATGACATCAAAGAGGCTAAAATACAGACCCACAGAGGCATCCACTCAGGGGAATTTAACACTTTAGTAAGTCTCTGAATATGATCTCAAATGACCTATCTAAGATTACGCGGGAAGCTCCTGGGAAGAAAATAAAAAGCAAAAAACAACTAAAAGATGAAAAAAAGCGGGGGGGAGGGAAGAAAATCAAGACTGTTTCTATTAACTAACTGATTTACAAAACCACAAGTATGGTGAGTGAGCCAGAGCACATTCCATATTGCAAACTAAAGAAACGTGCAGGCAGTCCGCAGCAAGGACACAAAACAGAAGTGTGAAACTTCTCCTACCAGATTAGGATGACCACAGGAATGCCTCCTACTGCTCTAGTTACAAAATAATTAAAGAAAAAAAATATCTAATATTGAGAACTAGTTATTTTACAAAAAAACACTTGTACCATGGAAAATATTTTGGAATACAATGGGTTCATGTCTTTTTATGCACCTGTAGGTTAGCACTTTTGTGTGATACAGACCATGTTATTGAAAACCCCAATATAAAAGTTGGCTTGAAGACTGTAGGGCGCGTGCCCCACGTATACTGCTATGCAATGGTTCACTGCAATAATTACACCAGTTATTATATTTATAGCTACATTTCCCTGGGAGACTGGAAATGCAACATTCCAACTAAAGGCTAAACAATTAATTAATTTTTTTGGGGTGGACAAAACAAAGCCAACACATTCTGGGTTAAGACGACTGAGGGCGCACACCAGCAGGGCACCAGCCCCAAACCCATCTGCTTATAGAAAAGCAAGTTCAAGATAGAATCTAACACAGCAAACCCACTGGTCTAGCAACAAACCAGAAGAAAAAGTGGCAGAACTTCTACTAAACTTTCTTCAAACAATTTTCACTCAGTTAAGAAGTTTTACGTTTCACAGAATGGCATTTATTTCCATTCTAGAGACAGGCAGAAGTACATTGTGAAAGTGTTCTGTAACAGGTTGGGGTTTTTTTTTCTGAATTTCATCACCACTTTGAAATAGTACGTGAAATGGGAAAGGTTTTCTATGAAATGCA